AGGAGCAACTAGAAAAACAGATAGGCAGCCATGGAATGATATCCGAAAATCTGTGGAAACAGCAGTGATATCTGCAAGTACGGTAAACCGTAAGGTTAGGGAGCAACACTGGATCTCAGCAGCATCTATCTCACTGATAGATGCTCGGAAACTCATTCCACCTGGCTCTGAACATAATGAAGAGCGGAGTCAGCTTAAGCGCAAGCTGACAAGAAGCCTACGCAATGATCGCGAACAGTGGTGGGTGGCGAAAGCAAGAGAGATGGAAAAGGCAGCGGCAATAGGTAATAGCAGACAACTGTTCAGACTCGTTAAGGAAACCGGAATTAGGAACCCGACCGTTAGCGAAACAATCTCAGAGAAAGATGGACATATTATACATTCTCAATCCAGGAGATTGGATCGATGGGCAGAACACTTCAGGGATCAGTTCAACTGGCCTTCAGCCACACTTCGGTTTCCCACGATCTGCAGTCAACCTGAATGGCAAGTTAATGTAGTTCCTCAGTCTCTTTACGAAGTTGAAAAAGCCATAGGAAATCTGAAGCGAGGGTGAGCAGCAGGCCCTGACAGGTTTACTCCTGAGATTTTTAAGGATGGTGGTCCAGTATTAGCAATGAGATTAACTGAGGTCTTAGGTAGAATTCGGGAACTGGACGTAATCCCATCTGACCGGTTTCAACCGCTGATTGTGCCAGTCTATAAGAAAGGACAACAGTCCTCTAGTGACAATCACAGAGGAATCAGTTTGACTAATATAGTGTCTAAAATATTAGTTTCAATAATAATTCGACGCCTAACCAAAGCTCGTGAAGAACAGACTAGAGAAAATCAGGCTGGTTTTCGACCTGGACGTGGTTGTATAGACCAGATATTCACACTACGTCAGGTTCTAGAACACAGACACACTTTCAGATGCCACACAATCGTAGTATTTCTCGACCTTAAAGCAGTATTCGACTTTGTTGATCGTGAGGTTCTATGGCAGTGTTTGTCACTGAAAGGAGTACCAAAGAAGTACATTAACCTTATAAAGGCTCTCTACTCGAACACAACTGGTAGAGTGAGAGCTTATGGCGAACTGTCATCAGAATTGATTACCTCAAGTGGTGTTCGTCAGGGATGTCCACTCTCTCCACTCTTGTTTAACTTTATCGTCGACGTACTTTTAGAGGTAACACATTCCTCGTCGAGATTTCCAGGGGTTGAACTTATGCTGAGAGGTTCACTTGTTGACTTAGAATATGCCGATGACATAATTCTATTTGGTGAAGACGCTGACAAAATGCAGAGTCTTCTGACCACTCTAAGCAACAATGCAAGCATGTTCGGGATGCGATTCTCTCCCTCGAAATGCAAAATGTTGCTTCAGGATCGGGTTATATCGACACCCGAACTAGTGATAGGGAGTGAAGTAGTTGAGTGTGTCGATCGCTTCACTTATCTTGGAAGTCTCATCAGCCCTTGTGGTCTGGTGTGTGACGAAATCTCAGCACGGATACAGAAGGCTCGACTAGCTTTTACCAACTTGCGTCATTTATGGCGTAGGCGAGATATGCGTCTATCAACCAAAGGACGCGTTTACTGCGCAGCAGTTCATCCCGTCCTACTTTATGGCAGTGAAACATGGCCGGCAAGAGTAGAGGATATTCGTAGGTTACTAGTATTTGATCATAGGTGTCTTCGATACATTGCTCGTGTATCCTGGGGCCATCGCGTAAGTAACACAGTTGTTAGGAAACGTGTATTAGGTAAGGATGGCAAATCAATTGATGAAGTAGTGAAACTTCATCAGTTGAGATGGCTGGGACGTGTTACGTATGCCCAACGACCGACTGCCTCGATGTGCGATGTTTTATGGTGTATGAGGGGGTTGGAAAAAAGCTAAAGGAGGCCAGATGAAAACATGTCACAAATCCATGAAGTCACTGACAAATGGACTGAGCCATGTTAGTAGGTGTAGACTACCTGGTTGGGATCTGCGAGACGATAACAACCGATGGTTAGAGACCTTGAATGACATGACTCAAAGTCGTTTGAAATGATGTGAGCAGGTTCATCCACTCTTTGTGTTCTCCAAAATTCTAATCTTCTGAATTCTTCATGTCCCTTTCCTTTTTTCCTTTCTAAATATATTTCGCTGGATTATACTCCTTGAATAACACGTTCAAACCCTAATTTTTCCGATTACTGCTTATACTTTTACCACCTCTACCACCATGGGATTCGAATCGCAAATTGCATCTCTGTGCTAATGTGGTGTGGCAACTCGAACTGATATACATACATACGAATTTCTACGTTGTTACTGACCGACTGATATTTGTAGTGTCAGTTATTATGCTAAGCCCATATACCTTATTCTAGTTTTCGGACATCCCACTCTATTCATTGTACTTCAGCCATACTTATTCGCTTATCAATCTAGACTGTTTTTATATGAGCGTATATGTGTGTGCCCTTCTTATCCCATTTAATCACATGTCTGTAGCTTTATTTTGTCTGACTATAAATATTGAGTAACGCTTGACTAAAGGTGAGTTGGCTTACTAGCCATCTCCACTGTGCATCATTTTTACTTGGCTTCACCGTGTACTTGCTTGCTGTACGCTTGCGAATTTTTATTAATCATTAACAATAAATTATCTCTACCACTGATGTTTAGGCTTCGCAATAATCTCGAGTAAATTCGTAATTCTACTAGGAGATTAAGCCTACCTTAAATACTCAATTGACGGGATATTTTTAATTGAAGTCAGATAGTGAAGCCTTCAACATATTGGTGAACCGCCGTTTCAACATATTTTTGTTACATGAACACAAAATACCCTTGTATGATCTTGAATAGTTTGTTTCTTATGGAAATATTCATGTAATCCTTATTATAGTATCTATGAAATGATGATTAATTCAATATCATTTTATAAAGAAAAATAAACAATAAAACAAAAACAAAAACCATAAAAAGAATAACGATGCGAAACAGATTTTATTTATTTTTATCATTTTGAAAAGTTTTTTTCAATATTCTGTTAATAGTAAAATGATGAATAAAGGGGGGTGGGGTGGGGTGGGGTGAGGTGGGGCAGAGGAGGAGAACGTGGCATATTAGCAACAACATGGTCTGAAAAAATACATATATATATCATAACTAATATTGTTTTACAAAGAAAAGTAATTCGAATAAGAACAAAACGATGACCGGATCTACAACACACACACACACACAAAAGCGACTCACAATAAAAAACACAGCAAAATAAATAATGTAACAATAGAATTAGCATAGATTTACCTACATACAATATGAAAAAGGTTACCTTTGCATGATCATGAGTAAATGACTATAGAATGTCACACATACACACACACATATACATGTTACATAATACATACATAAATATAGATAGAGATAGATACATACAAAGGAGTCTAGTCAAGAGACATGAAACATAATTCCCCTATAGAATGATATTATTTTTTAGAAAAAAGATGGGAATTGAAAGAATCATTCCAAACACACAATAGAAGAATTGAATAAATTCAATAATTATCCATAGCATAGAAAGCAAATATACTATATGACATGATAAAACTTAACAAAAATGTATATCATCCTTACAAATTCATATCCTACTACTACTCATTCATGTTTATTCAACTGATCCATATAGTTGATAAGGCGGGAAAGGAATACACAGATGGATAGTTTTAATTCACATTTCTATGTGTATATTGTGAACTCTTCAATGGGAATAAGTTTACACAGATAAACAACTATAGTTGCACACATTCACAAACACACACACACAAACAAATACAGAAGTCAAGTGTTTTCTTCTTTGTTTTAGAAAGGAAATATATGATTGTAACGGTCAAATGATTAAAAACCAAATCAACTAATAAAGACCGGGGTCAATGAAAAGAAAAACAAATAATAATAATAATAAGAAGAAGAAACCTGACATATAATGAGATCATGTGCTGAATGAATCTATGATTACATTCTCATAATTACAAATTATATTATGAATAATAAATAAATAATCAGTTGTTAGATGAGCAAACTGATAAAAGCAAAAAAGGAGGGGGGGAGGGAAGTGGAAACCAAACTTATGGAAGAACTATTATATAGTGGAAAATCAATTGTAACTAAGATATCACACTCATACTCACACACACACACACACACACACACACACACACACACTTTAAACACATCCATATACATGACAATAAGATAGTTACCGAAAAATGAATCATTTAAAGAGAAAAAAGAAAGAAAAGAAAACAATATACATAAATACACATATATGATGATAATATTATACAGAAAACAACAACAACAACAACAACAACAAAAAAGAAAAGAAAAAAGAGAAGAAGAAAAATAAGCAAATAAAATATCATTGATCGATGTTTATTTGTTTAAAATAAAAAATAATAAAAAAAAACTCTATTTGAAAGAAAGAACATGGTAAAACAAACAAACAAACAAACAAACAAACAAACAAACAAAATGAATATGGTTGGTTTTCTTTTGAATAACCTACAACACATTGACAATATTGATTTTTTTCTATTTTTTTGTTTTTTATTTCGGTTAAAAGTATGAATGAATTAGTCAATAGTTAATTTTTTTTAAAAAAGATAGAAATTATATTATTTATATGAAATAAATAATCATTTACTTAGTTACAATAATAAATATGAGATCAATAGTATCAGAAGAAGAAGAAGAAGAAGCTTAAATGTAATGATGATATTGACAATAACAGCCATAGCAACAACAACAATAAGAAGAAGAAGGACAACGAAGTGGTAAATGTTGACATGGTTACATGAACTAAAACATTCATATAATCAATTAGAATATGTCAAGGGATAGAGGTAGGAAAGAGAGAGAGAGGGAGAGAGACAGGGGGGAGAACAATCAACACAACTACATACATATACATAGTGTTATACAAATGAATAGATTCAGTAAATATGAATTTAAGTTATATTAGTAGTATGTAAAATAAAATATTTCATAATAATATTGAATGCATTACGATTGCCTGAAATGCGTTTAAATCTTACACCATAATTAATTGGTTTAGCTAATTGAAATATTTCCATATCCCATATGATTAAATTAGTTTTATGTTTTAAATGAATGAGATAAGACAATTGAGGCTGTTGTTGTTGTTGTTGTCGCTGGGGATGGTGTTGTTGAGGTGATGTTGTTAGTGTACAGTGTTCTAGTTGTTGGTCAACATCATCAATAGTGTTATTATTATTATTTGAACAAGGAGAGGATTGATGAGAAGACGGATTCATTAATTTTGTACAACGTATACGATATGAACTAAGAAATTCATAAGAACATTGATAACGTTTTATTAATTCAATGATTTGTATTAATAAAACATGTGGATCAGTTCCAATAATAGGGAGACGTAATACAAAATGTAAACGACGTGGTTTCCATAATTTTTGATTTTCATTTTTTCCATAATAAAAAGTATGATGATCATATTGATGTTCATCAGATGATTTAAATTGTGATGATGAGGTAGTTGTTTTCCAATTTATTATTCTCGTTGTAACTGTCAGTGGAGATGAGGTTGTTGTTGTTGTTATTGATGAGGATGATGGTGATAATGATATTGTACATGATGGAGTTGTGATAGTTGAAGCTTTCAATTTATGCATGTCGGAAGTTATGACCACAGTTTTCGACGTTGGAGGGTCGAGGCAACACGGTTCGACTCCGGTCTTTTCTATAAAACAATTAATAAGACAGATGAAATGTAACTAAAACTGAAGATGGTAAGTTAGTAAATAAAAATTATATATACACACGCATTTAATTCCTTTATCTTTATCAAAATATTACTGAAATAATTAGGGTAAGTGTAAAAAGTAGGTGAGGGGGGGGGGCGGGGATGGGTGGAATACAAAAAGCACCAAAAATAGATAACATGTAGTGAATGCAAAACAAAACAAAAAATTGTGCAGTAAACTTCTAATTAAAAATGACATCATTAACACGTTGTTACAAGAAACAAACAAACAAGCAAATATAAATTAGATACATAACAAAACAAGGAACAACACAGTTTAAATGTAGTCAATTCTAAGTCAAATTATAAAGAGGAAAAAAAACAACAACGAGTGAATTCATTGAAAATTTTACTTGGTTCAATCTATGATAACTTACGAATAGAATCTATCATGAACTCAATAAGGCAGCACACACACACAATGCCCTCCCCCCCCAATAATAAACCCTCAAAGACAGAACCCAAAAAGAAGTACAGCAGTATAGAAAATTTGATATTTCACATAGAACAATTGAAATTAAACAACTCTGTATACGTGTGTATATATATAGCAATAAAAACATGACCTCAGGAAAGAAAATCAGTGAACTAAAAGTGATAGTCATCAAGACGGAAAACAACATGGTCATGTGAAAATGTGAATGGGAAAAAATATGCTTGAGGTTATCTTATTACAGAGGAAAAATTGACATTTAATGATAGGAAACAAATAACCTATCTTCTATTTTTTTTAAAAAAAAACAACCCCAGATCGATGATATGGAAACTCTTCCAGGAATGCTTTATCTCACAAACTATAAGCCCAATCAAAAACTGGGGATATTGAATTTGAACGATGAGTATATCGAATGCACCACTACTGAAAGTGTCGGAAGAGAATAACGAAAAACCACACGTATGGGACGTTAATTTACCTTATATGAATATTTACACTAGATTCCCTCTCAGTGTGCCCCCAAATGCTCTAGTATGACCGAGAGTGGGGAGTTCGCTTTCCCTCTCGAAATGCTCTCACATAGTCACAAGTATATAGCCTCTGCCAAGAAAGTCCTACCGGCTACCATGGGACTGCATCTCCTCACGATGCTCCACTGCCTTGGGGATCAGACCCTTAGGTCGAAGGCTCCGGATGTAGCCTTCTAAGGAAACCACGTGCTTCGGTTTGGGCACCCAGATAGTATCACAGCCCTCACACAAATCTCATTTGATTTGTGTGACGCATATGTATCTAGTGCTCCCTCTTCCAGTGTCTATTCTGCAAGACTTCAACACAACTCAAATGATCAAGAACACGTGATTAGCCTGACTAGAACGTAAATATATTTCCACACCAAAAACCCGACACAATCCAACAACAATCAATAATAAGTGAATAATAAGGATAAGGGGATATATAACTCATAACTAATACCTATCAGACTATCTACTAGTCTGACTAAGCGAACAATCAATCATTATCACATTCTTCATGAATGCTAGTTTGAACTAAAGTGATCTATAAGAAGTATATCAAAAGTTTCTATTACTAAAAACAAATCGATCAATCTCAATAAAAGTATCCTGTATATCAGAAATGAATAAACAGCATAGGATAATTTCAGATGAAATGGTATATACCATGAATATGTTGTATCTAGTTCTTAAAACTACAATTATATACATACATACAATGTATTCCAAGTTATAGAAAATGAATGAACAATACAATGATTCAAGACAACAACAACAAAAGGTTTATAGATTTTATAATTTCGAATAAATTAACCATGAAATAGATTGTTATAAATAAATATTTGTAGAAATCCCAATCATGAATAAGAAAAAAAAGTAGATTTTCTGACATTTCATAACTTAATGTAAGCCATTTCTATTCAAAGAAGAAGTTTCATTCAAAATGTATAGTGTTGAAGAGTTGAACAATTTTTTTTCGTGATATTTCCATTCACACGAATTCACTTCAATTCAATAATCATTTGAAAACAAATCAAGTAATGTGTATTTATATTGCATCAGTATAGAATTCATCAATACTGTAAACTAATAACTCTATAGCCCCCAAATGCCCAAGTATGTCCGAGAGTGGAGTGGGTCAGCCCTCCCTCTCGAAATTCTCTCACATGGCCACGCGTATATAGCCTTTGCCAGGGAAGTCCTACTCACTGCTTTCTCGTGGCGGAGTTGTTGTTTACAAAAATGAGAGGACAAAAAGCGAATATCCGGTGCTTTAACCGGACCCCAAACCAATGGTGCACATGGGTTCCAGTATCCTGAGGGAACAAATGGTGTATGAACCAATCGTTGATCACCGGCTACCATGAGAATGCATCTCCTCACGATGCTCCACTGCCTTGTGGATCAGACATTTAGGTCAAAGGCTTGAGGTGTGGCCTCCTAAGAAAACCACCTGCTTCTGTCTGTGCACCGGGCAGTATTACAGCCCCCCCACACACACACAAATATGTTGTGGCGCATATATATTTGGTGCCCTCTTGTACCAATGTTTATGTGTTGAAATAAATAATAAATAAAGATAAATCTATTGACAACTTTTAGATAACAGCAGCATTTCAGACATTATAGCGAGTATATTACTATTAGAATTAATGAGTTAACTATATTTGATTTGATTTATTTACTCATTGCGTTAACTGCTGACTCAGATTGATGAACATATTAAAGTGATATATATTCAATAGAACTGTTGAACATTTCAATTATAAAACCCTTAATAAGGCGGTCATAAATCTCTAATATTAAAGAACTTCATACTAGAAAAATATTTGTCTAGTAATCGTAATTATTTAACATTGAACCAGAGATAAAGTCAATCGATCATATGGACTATAAATCAGATCATTCCGATCAAGAATATTCGATAGATTTGGGATTAAGAAAAAATTGTAATAATCATTTCAAGTGATATAATGATTAACATAGAGAATGCATAAATGTATAAATGATTATTCTCTATTCATACAAGATCTACTCGTCATTATGAATTAGAAATGTTGATAGCTGTAAGACAATAGTCAGTCAGTCAGTCAGTAACAACGCAGAACTTCGTACGTACGTACATCAGTTCGAGTTGCCACATCAATAGACTATGTTCAAACAAGTGGGTAGGGTTAGGTCAATGGATATGGAGAGTATCAAAAAAACAAGAGCATTACTGTAACAATTAAAATTTATTATTCTTCAATAGAATAAATTATAAAACAGAAGATGAAAGGAAAGAAAAATATAATAATAAACATATTTATTATAATTTTCAGTAAGTCAGTCAGCTACAACGTAAGACCAGGCATATATATGCATCGATACAAGTTGTCATACCGCATTAGCACAACAAGATGAACACCAAATTCATAGAAGTAGTCACTTCAATGGTGGTAATGTATAAAAGAAAGATTGCAATAAGGATATAGTACAGGAAGAAAGAATTAGTTGGTAGGAAGGAAGATATAAAGCGATTTTAATCTCTTAGTTTAAGAGAAGACAGAGAGTGTATACACATTTCACACAGTCTACAACCATTGGTTATGATAGTCGCACGGACCCCAACCAAGAAGTCTGCATCTACTAACATGGCTCAGACTAGACGTTAGTGACTTCAAGCACTGATAACACGTTTTGGTTTGGCCGCCCCTGACTTTCTTCCAACCATCCCCAACACTAGTCAGCATTGAGCGTCGTGGCAATCGGTGTCCAGGTATACGCAACACGTGATAAAGATTGACAACCTCATCAACTCATTTATCATCATTCCCTTTTACTCTTCGTCTAACCTCACTATTACTTACCCAGTGATCCCGGTAGATGTAAGCAATATTTCTAAGACATATGTGATCAAATACTAGCAGCTTACGAGTATCTACGCTTAATGGCCACATTTCGCAGCCGTAAAGTAAAACAGAACGAACTGACGCGCAGTATACTTGTCCCTTAATTGATAGACGGATATCTCGCCTTCGCCATAGATAATTTTGATGAAAATTGGAAAATGTTAAAATGAGCTATAAGTTAGAAACACCCTTACTAACTCTTTAAGAATACAACATCATTAGTGAGTGTTAAACACTAAGAATCTACAACACAGCAAAACTACTGCACGCCAGAAATTGAGAATATGTTCAAGTTCAACATTATGTGTTTAGACAACATCAATAACACACATAGATAAACACTAACAATAACTGTAAAATGTGTAAAGATGTTTGGAAGAGTAAGGGAAACAAATGAAAAAGTGTACGAAGTGCATATAAAAAGATAAACTATCACTACAATTACAACAAGAAACATATAAATGTATTCATTCCTATGGATATATTATGAAATCTACATCAGATTTATGAATAAAACCAGTTTGCAATTAACAGTCTACACTCATTGTAACTGATTATTGACAACAGAAGGGGTTTTGTGAATATTATAGTAATTTTAATAGTTGAGATCATAAGTCAATTGAAGCTAGACTATCATGGAAGACCTGGAAGCACTAGATGGCCGTTTCGTTCTAGTATAGAACTCCTCAGCATCCATGATCCTACCTCACGTGATTCGAACCCAGAACCTATCGGTCTTGCGCACGAACGCTTAACCACTAGACCAGTGAGCAAGCATCCAACGATATTATTGGCAGTTAGTGAGAGGAAACGTTTTAAACATCTTTACAACTATGATTAAAAATAACCTATATTGATCATATGATTACTTCGGGAAATATTTCCATTACATATTCTAAACAGTTTTTATATTGTTGAAATACGATCCAGTCAGTCAATCAGTCGCTAAACAAATATATCATATACAAAATTGTACAATCTTTGAAATCTCGTCTAAATAGTTAGGATAAAGAAGCGAAAACTAATCAAGTATAATCTAACACTAAGTTTCAGTGGTATTAAGTGAAATTAGATAAGGAGTGTTGTTTTACTTAACATATATCTAAGTTAATTAAGTTGATGCTTCCAAATCAATTTAATGATAGCCTCAACAATGTTAGAACATGAATAATTGAACCTCACTATTAGTTATATGTAGTTACTGTCGAAGATGACTGTTTCCACAATGAAAAAGATGATCGAACCGAGAACACTATTGAACGTTCTGTGAGTTTAAAAACAAGGTTTTCTAATTACATAGAAGTAATGTTAACATCGTAGAATCGTATATAACGCATCTTTTTTACAGACAGCGTGATGCTACATTGCAATAGTCAGAAGTGAATCCTAGTACTAAGATTCGTGGTAGATGGTAGTCATTAGTAAGTCTTATCTGAAATCTTGAGAGAACTGGTACTTCTCACAGGATTTGAACTCTCATTACCAAGCTTCAGTTCCTTCAATATTGTACATACATACTGCTGGAAATTTGCAACTACCAAGAAAAATGAGTTTAAGGATTTTACTGCCGATTGCTTTCAACTACCTAACAATGAAACTATTTGTTTGATAGTAGACCAGTATAACAAAATAGAAGACTGACCAATCGAAATAAGAACACTTAGTATGTAAAAACTAAGAAAAAAGGAATAGAGAAAAGAAGTAAAGTAAAACTTACTTTGATAACCACCACCGCCGCCGCCACAACCAGCGGCGATAGACTGATTATTAGCCGATGTGTTATTATTGGTAGGAAACTCAGTTCCATGATGATACGGATAATAATGAAGAGGATTAGGGTGTTGTTTTAATTTATTAGTATCTAATTCACTGGATAATGATCGTTTGCATTTTGATATCAAATCCTTACGTTGTTGTTTTCCAGGTTCCATAGTTATCCATGGATCTGGATTAATTGACACAAGACATTTCATCGTATCGTCATCATCATCACAATTCACTTCATCATTATCATGATGATGATGATGTTGTTGTTGTTGTGTTGTAGATGGATGACTAGATGTTTTTGTTGGTGATGATGATGTAGAATGAGTTAATGAAGAACAATGTAATCGATTAGATGAATTAAATTCTTCAGTTAATTCAGCTTCATTATTATTTGGTTTCAATAAACTCATTCTATGTGGTTTAAAGTTAGTGTTATTAGTATATTTATGATTGGATTTTTGTATACTAGAAATAATTCGATTATTATGATGATTTGTATGACTATGGTTACAAAAAGGTGAAAAAGAGGATACATGAATAAAACAAATAAAATATTGAATATTATAGGAGTCAGTGGAAAAAAAACAAACAACAGCCACCCCCCCCTTAAAAAACTTTAATAAATGAAGTAGTTTAATGGAAATGTTTCTATTTCTAAGGATACATATTACAAAAGTCAACTAATGTGAATAGAAAAAAGTAGTTAGCAACTGAGAACTAAACAAAACAACCGTTTCATGTTAATAACATTTAGAAGTATCATGCACGCTTCAAAATCTGATCATACTAAGTTCGATCACAAAATGAAATCTTGAATGTACACTACTGACTGAAGAGCAATGAACTAGAATGAAGTGATAGTCTATTAATATTCAGTTCCATAATAAATTGGTGATCTCTCAAGGGATATCATAAACGATTAGTCATAAGATGATTCGACAAAGTTTAGATACACTTATGAAGTTGACTAAATGTTTCAGTATCAAAAATACTCATCATTGTGTTATTGTAAGCTAACGAACACAATATCTTATTTTGGCTACATAAGTTAATCGCTTTACAATGAGATGACAGTGGTATGGATGTGACATTTTAAAGTGTAACAAGGATACATTAAAATTAAATTCATATCCTTCAAGGTATAAAATGAGTAAAGTAAAAGTATTTACTCACATGAATAGACAACTAAATTTGAGAAGTATGCATAAATTCAATATAAATAAACTTAATCAATCCTAATAGTTAAGCATAGATCGAATACATTTGGTTAATATTTTCACTCAGCAAAATATCAATTCATCAGATTGAGATTATGTTTATTCTCTCAAATATACCAACCAATTCGATGTATAATTAACTTCCTAATATATCTAAACAAAGTTAACTAAACAACATATTTATGCAACAGATAGATTCGCATGCCCCCAAATGTCCTGGTACGACCGAGGGTGGGGAGAGTCAGTTCTTCCTCTACAAATGCTCTCACATGGCCACGTCTATACAACCACTGTCAAAGAAGTTCTAATTATTATCTTCTCGCAGCATTCCTGTTGTTTATGAACTTGACAACACGAAAAGAGAATGTCAAACGATTTAACCAGGTTGATGAACACAGGAAGTCTATCCAATGGAAGTTGGAAAACCTTGATTCCAAACTAAAGGTCTACATGGGCTCCAGTATCCTGACGGAACAAGTGGTGTATAAATCCATTGTTGATCACTTGAATAGATACTTCTAATAGATTTCAAACTACTTTAAATAAATAGTAGTACTTGTCATTGAATAAAAAATTTCTTTATTGTTTACAACATGAATATAAAAGAACAACTAAAGTTAAGTGCTTAATTAGTTTATAGATTAATTCAAAACACAATGTGGCAAGACTATAATTTATAAATGAATCAAACAGATTTACAACAATAAGTCTTTGATTTACGATGTGAAATTCACTCATTCATTTAACCAAATAGCGTCTTGGCATTTTTACTGATATCAGTTCGTGATGAGAACTTTAAATCCAACTCTTAACTCTAACTATCAACTGTGAATCATAATCTTTACTCTTCAAACTGTTTTATAATCCTTATTTAGCCCTAGCAAGTATGTGGACACTCTCAAGGTCACTTTGGCGTCGTACAAAGGTCATCCATAAATTAAAGTCTCACCCATGCATATGAATGTGTAATAATCAAGTATAGAAATTTCAATAGTTGAAATCATGAGTCAATTGAAGCTAGACCACCATGGAAAACCTAAGAGCACTGGACGGCCGTCTCGTCCCATCGTGGGATTCCTCAGTAGTGCGCATCCACGATCCCGCTCCCCGGGAGGTTCGAGCCCAGAAACTATTGGTCTCACGCGCGAGCACTTGACCACTAAGCCGGCATCCAACGGTGGATGGGCAGTGCTGAGGAGTCCCACAATAGGATGAAACGGTCGTCTAGTGATTTAAGGTTTTCCATGGCGGTCTAGTTTCAATTGACTCATGTTCTGAGCCATTGAAATCAATAATCTATTGTATAACGGCTCAATATGATCAGAATAAAAATCAAGTAAATAAATGGAGATCAATAAGATTATGTAAGAAGTAAGTATAAAAAGACGAGAAAATGGAGGATTGAAAATTATAGAAGAGGTTATTTGATAAAAAAAAATTTGATAGTAGGTCTTCCTCCAATGTCTAATCCATGTTGATAGATGTAGAGTAATCGGATGAAGAATGTATGATTATCGTAGTCAAATGGTTGAAGACGTTCGCTGAGATGATTCAGAATAAGTTGCACTGCAATACATATGAATTCACTACTCACTTTCCACCTGATCATCAGTCTCGTACTTATTTCGTATCTTTTATCCTTTGTTTTCATGATTTTTTATTGTCAGTGATATTACTAATTTGATATTCACCAGTGCTCAATGTGATGGATCAATTTAGAACAATGAACATTTGACAATGGAATTCATCGATAGTAACAGTATATCCATAAATTAAGATTAACTGAGCTTAAACTAGTGTATTTGATATGTGACAAGTTTAAGTCGATCTTGTATTAGTTAGCCGAATGTATGTTGATGTTCACATTGGTTGAAAATTTTAATGGTTCACTGAACTTAGTAAGTCAATAGGTGACAAATAGGACATTTAAGCAAAACCGATTCGAATCTCTACATGAACAACAACATTGCAATTGTAAGTAGTGTTTAGCTGAAGAGTCCTGAATAGGACAAAAAAATTACATCCTAGATTCAATTATAATCTACAAATCAAATATAACAAAATTTGTGACTATAAGCTACATAAAAGTAATCTGCGCTCAATGTATAACATACACAACAATGGAAGCTTAAAGTGATGAATATCAACAATAAGAAATCACGAAACCACATTCATTCAATATTTCTAGGTTCAATAGAAATATTGAATTTAGAAAAAGCACAAAAGAAAATCAAGGGTAGTACAATCAATCAATCAATCAATTCATTCATTCATTCATTTGTATCTTTAATAAATATACAAGTAAAAACAATGATCATGTTACTTTGATCATTTCAATGTCAACATGAATGAAACAATATTGAATGTTGATTTTACCAATAAAAATATATATTAAACTTATTAAAATGATAGCAGATATTTAGTTTTCTATCGCATAGATAATGTTTAGTGAGGTTTAGACATTCTACTGTTAATTCGTAGATTGTAGGTGTTAGGACTGGAGAAATATAATGATTGGTAACTTTGGGGATCCATTTACGGACCAATATTAAACGTATATCTCTATTGTATAGTTATTAAGTAACTAAACTATGCATATTCATATTCCTCTTATTATAAGCTTTATTTTGACCCATAAACTATTATTATACGTTTGACCATCCTTGAATTAGGCCATGTCTATTAATCACTACCTAACACATTCACAACCACATCTGGCTAATTCTTGTACAAATGTTCTTTCATATTTTATTGGTACATCGTAGTCTGTTTGACTGGTATATAAACCCCAATATGTTTGAAATATTATGATTCATATTGCAGAGGCTGAGATTGGTGTTCTGGACTTAAGAGGCAGGGCTAGGCAGGAAGCAGGACCGATAAGGACTCTAGACTGCTCGTACGTGTCATTGATCCGATCTATAAGTCACTGCTCATGAGTTGGGTTCAAGTTCGGTAGAGTAAACCTCAAACAATGAACTACACAAATTTCTCTATTCAGTAAATGAGTTACTTTTAAAGAAACAATAGATAGTACTTATAGAAAATAAAACAGTAGTAAATTGAAGAAAATACAGTTTTTTTTTCTTTCTTAATAATTTCTTTGCTTCTTGAAACAACGTTTATAGCCTTGCATTAAATCATTAAAAATAATTGAAATTATTATCAGAAGGGGTTATTTGCGGATGTTTCTATAGTAATTTTTAAAAGGTGAGATCATAAGTCAATTGAAGCAACACTATCACAAAAAAAAACCCTGGAAACACTGGACGCTTGTTTCGTCCTATTGTGAGACTACTGAAGAGTCCTCATTAAATTTCTACTATTTTGATTACTTTTTCAGTCCTTAGTCATAGATTATGCTTGTTAAAATGAATCAAATAAACAATCTTAGAAATGAATAGAAATAAAGTGTTGACTTCGAATACAAAATCAAACGAGAAAAGAAAACAAACTAAATTATGTTGTTTAACAGAATGAAAAACCAACACCAAAACAAATTTAATCATTCCATGATTTAGCAATTTACTGACTAGACAAAAACTGATCATCAGGTAAACAGAATAAATGATAAATAAAAGTGTTTAACTAGACAGTAAATATATATTAATGTCAGAAGGGGTTCTGTGGAGATCTTAGTAATTTCAATACTTTAAATCATGAGTCAATTAAAGCTAGACCACCAAGGGAAACCTGGAAGAGGAAGGATCGTAGGTGTGCACTGCCACTCAGGAGTCCCATACGAGGACGAAACGGCCGTCTTGTGCTTCCAGGTTTTCCATGGTGGTCTAGCTTCGATTGACTCATGATTTCAACTATTGATTAGCAGTGGAATCTAGAACGAGTGTTTCATCCTATTTAGGATTGGTTCAGTTGGATGCACCTGCATCCTAAAGTTGATATTCGCGCTTTCTGGATTCCACTGCTAGCCACTACTCATCTTTGCTTAGAATGCTTATGAATTTAGGCAATACGCACACGATGCACAAATGCCAATAATAGACCAATCAATTACTGTCCTAAGTAACAATGAGAAAATTCAAATAAACAATAAATAATGTTTGTACAAGTTTCTGAAACACTCGATCTACAATAATTTTTCATTGTGATTCAAAAACTACACGTTAGCACATCGAGAGTACATAAGAACTCTCCAATCTTTAAAGTTCTTTCTCCAAATATTGACTAGTATCTAACTATCTATTTATTGATCTCTATGCATCAGTGGTTTTTTTTTCTTAAATGAATGGAGTTTACTCGCATGTCTTTCTGTATACCTATTTATCGATTGATTCATGAATCAGTTGTGAATAGCAAAAACAAAACCAATAGTTGTAGCAGTGACAAAGTGGAAAATTTAGTTCTTCTTACAACAACAACAAAACAAAAAAAACACATATGCTCATAAACAAAACTCAACCTGTAAATGAAACAGGATTACTGCATAGAGATTATACGAATTTATGTAAAAAAAAAAGTTAGCTGTTAAGCGAAAGAACAAGATTTTGTGCGTTGTTATTATTGTTACTGTTATAATGAGGCATAAAAGTGATTAAACGAGGATTAACAAACGTGATGTTCTTTTATTTTTTAGAAAAAATATCCAACATCAACACCAAGGAGCTAGAGTGAATAATACGGTCTTTGGAATAAGTATTATTCAAGCATATCATCCAACCAACAAGACTATAAACCTTGTTTTATATCACCAATGAAATCATATTACTGCGTATCAACTTTAGATTATCATAAACAGATATACTCAAACACACCCGACTGTTGTTGCTACCTTGACGTGGTGGTCAGTCTCACGCATCGTCATGAACCAACCGAGCTATACTGGCTGGAACAACCGTTCCTCAAGGTCCTACCATGCCAGACAGGTCAGTTGAAGAACGGTAAGACTAAAGGCAACAAACCCAAAGTCCGAAGGCGAAGTCGTACTGCTGACTGTACAGAGGTGTGACAGTAGTAAGGTGTTTCCTTCAGACAACCAGCATGATAGCGATGCTGCCTTTCCACGAGGAAGGGTGGGGTTAGAAAAGGTGGACCCAAAAATGCACACCTCGCCTTATCTCACGGATATCAGTCTCCGGTGGTAAGTTCTCAACAAGTACGGAGCTAACAAGAAAATTACCCATAAAAAGGTCATGTGTGATCGACTTCAAACAGTTGTCCCTTAGGCACTGCGGTCACACTCTCAAGTCACAAAGACCACCTCTAACCCAATTTCCTTTTCAGGTACCTCCAGAAGAACCCTTCCACGGTGTGGGCAACCGGGAAGTGATAACCGCCCTCATACCTCTAACAGCACTGAAGACCACTGTATTCATAATCAACCTCCCTCTTCACTGATGATCAAAGTACATAATTAAATGCATAACTTGCACATTTTTTTCAAATCAATGAGTTGCTACATACTATGCAACTATCAGATTCGATGCATCAAACATTCTTAAACTGTGTTTTACCAATTACACCTCACAACAATCAATACACATCCCAGAACACATTCAAACACATAATCTCAATTGAACTATTAACCATTTAAAATAACAAAAATAAGAATTCATCCTGAAGAAATGAAAGGAATAATGTTAGTGTAGCATAAATAAACTAGTACAATATACAAATCAGTGTTTTGAGTTAATTGTTATGCTTAATTAACACACATTTAACAATATTACTAACATGTAGTACTAGTAGTAGTAGTAATGGTATTCATATTACTATGTAAAAAAATCTTTATTCACAAATGATAATGAATTTATTTACAAATTATAAACAAGTACAATTCTTCTTGTCCTTCCTGTGAAAACAGAAAAAAAAATCCATAAGAAAATAAGGTAGTGAATTCAGAATCGAATCACAAAGACAGATAGATAGAGAAAGATAGAGAGAGCGAGTGAGTGAGTGAGTGAGTAAGAAGGAAAGAGAAGAAAACCACTGAGAGAATAATAAACAAGCATATATGTTAAGAAAATGAAACGAAATCACAGCAAACAAAAGTAGCATTGTAAAGTAACAAATACAAGTGCAGCTAGCTAGCTATATTAAGTGTGTAACAAGTAGTAGAAAAAAAAAGTAGCCAGAAATTTGAGTTAAGCATAGTTACAATAGTTACTTGGAGCTCAAATAATTAGCGCATAAGTATGCACGTAAACACACACACACACACACATACATTCTTGCTTGCTTATATCAAACATAGCTATCGCATATAAGTGCACTTTGTAAAGGTGTAATATGAGAGATATATACATTGACATACATACACACACAAATAATTTCACTCCAACTCACCCTGACTTAAAACGACCACATCGAAAACTTGATGTATAGATCAAAAAGAAATTATTCATGATAATGATCACCTTTTTTTTCACATTTCATAATATAGAATAATCATTAAATTTATTATATAGCAATGTATTTCTGATGATGTAATAGAAGATCAATCAATTTTTGATAGACAATTCTCAGTAGAACACGACTATCAAAACAATTTGTTTGGACAAATGGAAGCAAGCACAGCAATGAGATAGAAAGTAAAATGGTTTATATCACTAAATCCTTTGTATACTTCATCACTGTATTCATATTCAATATAAGAAGGTTATGTCCCGATAAACATAAAAAAATGGTAACTTTTGGGATCCATTTATGGATCAATACTAAACGTATATTTCTATCGTATAATTGTTAAATAACTAAACTATTCATATTCATGTCCCTCTTATTATGAGCTTTATTTTGACCTATGAAGTGTTATTATACGATTTACCATTCTTGAATTATACCTTGTCTATCAATTACTACCTCCCGCATTCACAGCCACATTTGGCTAATTCGTGTACAAATGTTGTTTCCTATTTTATGGCACAATGTTGTCTATTTGGTTGATATATAAACCCAGTATGTTTGAAATCAATTATTCATATGGCAGAGGCTGAGATTTGTGTTCTGGATGTAACAGGCTGAGCTAGGCAGGAAGCAGGACTCTAAACTGCTAGCATGGGTTTTATGCGTCATTGGCCGGATCGATAATTTATTGCTCTCTAATTGGCGGTATCGTTTCGCTATATATCAACAGGGCATACAGGCCACAAGTTATAACAAATAACTACATGTATATGGAGACGGAAGGAGCATATATAAATAAACTGAAACTGTGTACTAAGCAGAGATGGATGGTGGATAGTAATAAAATTCAGGATACGCATTTCAACTTATCTGGGACCTATCAGCCGGATGTACATGCATCCCAGAGTTGGTGTTCAACCAGGGACTCGAACGTCGTCACGTTGTCCACTTAGCTACTGAGTCCAGATAGCCCTGGCTTGTGCAATGGCGTGAATTTTAATTCATACATAAAGGTTATTTGAATCTTCTCACTGGTGTTTAGAACTGCAATTGATAAGCCACCATCCATCTTTGCTTAAATTGCTTGTGCCTTGATGGTTATATCGAGGTAATCTGTACATAATGCACATATGCCAAATGAAACTGACCAACTGCAGTCCTAAACATCAATCGGAAGATCAAAACAATCAACATATATGAATTGTGTACTTAATTCAACAAAATATAACGTTGAGAGGAAAACATTCAGATTGTTATTTGTAGTAGATTTTGTGAACCATAGTGCAAATTCTTGAACACTAAATTACTATTTATTCGTTTATCAACCAATCTAGTCAGTTTGAAGTCCTAAATGAACTAATTGAAGTGTCTGCCGTAAACTCCGCATAATTTATGTGATAAAAATGATCGCAGGCAATTAAAAGATTACTTAATAAACAGTTAATTTGTAAATTATGATAATGCAACTAATTTCTTAGCTTTAAATTTGTTGTAAGCGAACTATTAGTAGTACAAGTATTCTACAAGGGAGCAGACCTTAAGCTACACACATCTACCGTGTAGTGTAATGCAGACTACGTATAGAAGTAAGTTAGAAGAAATGTGGGGGCAGTTAGATCAAGACGTAGTATTAGTCCATGAAGTTGCTAACAATGCGACTGGGTCATGTCAATAGGTGTAAACTACCACGAAGATTATCGTAGCCGATATTTAGAGAATGGATGATATAGCTCAGAATCGCATGCCATGTCCAATGTGCATTCACTCTTTATCTTCTATTATAACGTGTGTACAGAATTCTCATTAAACGTTTTAATACTTGATCTTGTTTTTCTACTACTGACACAATTACTACTTATATACTACTACTCTAGGATTTGTCTTGCTAATATGAAATGGCAAATTGAACTGATCGACACAAATGTCAGGTTCCACGCTGTGCATGTCTGACTAAGTACATATACTTTTTATTCGAAAAGAAAAAAGATTTATACATTTTAAAGAAAATTTATGATATTGCAACTAACTTTTTCAGAGCTAATCAAATACGCGTCAGACTGCATAAGAAAATTAACTAGTTAATGAAATCTACTATTTCACTACTCATAAGTAGCTTATTACGTTCAATAAAAGTAATTTGACCTAATCAACGTATGGCTTTTTGTATAATTTTTAAATGCAAAAACCAATTAGCAGAATAAAATGAGTAAATGTCTAACAAGTGAAATAGGGCTCAAATCACTAGTTGATGGATTTTATACAAAGAATAAACACGAAGTTGCAAAGCAAAAAGAAAACATGTTACATAAATGAAAATCATAGTGCATTGTATTAACTGCAAAGATTGATAGTGGCTAGCAGTGGAATCCAGGATGAGCGTTTTGTCCTGTTTGGGACTCGTCAGATGAATGTGCTTGCATCTCAGAGTTGAAGTCCACTTTGAGACTCGAACTCAGTATCGTTCGCTTCAAACGCCATCAAGTTATCCACTTAGCTACTGAGTCCACCTTTGCATATAATGCATGCGAATTAAGGCTATATCGATGCAATACGCACAATATGCCAATAACAGACTGATCAATTGCAATCCTAAACAGCAATGGGAAGATTCAAACAAACAATATCAAGTGAATCATTGTGTTAACTGTTGACAGTAGTCTATTAGTTAAAACATTTTAGGGAATATGACTTGACACGTGCTAACTTGAACAGATGAATATCTATAACAAATACCATGTTAATTGAAGATGCAATCGTAATACAATATGACTTACAAGATCTTGATTAACATATAGGATTAAATTATGGGGTGTATTTATGCTTAATCGATGATAGAGCCAAATAGCCCCAAAATGCCCTGGTACGGCTGAGAGTGGGGAGAGTATGCTCTCCCTCTCGAAATGCTCTCACATAGCCACGCGTATATAGCCAAATAACATGCTAACAAAGTTATTTTAGCCACCTTGCAAAATGAAATAAGGATACACAAAAGAACCCAACCAATAGTGATCAGATCAATGCTAAACATGATCGAAATCAAAAGCACGTTTATGGAAAAAAAACAATATAAAAATACTGAATTAATTACCTTCGAGCTATCCTTAATGTTAGACTACGGAAGAATCGTCCTGGTCGAGAATGACTAGATGATCCATTTTTTGAAACTGTAGTTGACGGAGTTTCTAAAGTCATTGAAGAATCTGAATAATTCTTTAATTCCGTGGAACAATTGATATTTTGATTTGGATCCATATTTTTCTTGCATGTTGTCACCTGTTTCGACTCAGCAACAGATGGAATATTATTAGTTGTAGTCATCATAGTATTGTTTGGTCGATGACGTACTGACCATTTAATAATTGAATCTCTTTTTAACGATGCTGTTGTTGTGGGTAATTTAAAACCGTGTGATTTTGAATCAGATTTTTTCCTATCATCATTAATCGTCTTCTCATCTGTGTTCAATGTATCAAGTGCCTTGAAAATTGAATCAGGCAATGTAATTCGACCACTAGGTGATGAAGATTGTTTATTATTATTTTGTTGTTGTTGTTGTTGTTGTTGTGTAATTTTCGCAGAATTCATTGTACCCGATGAAGATGTTGGATCCATTGTTGAAGAATGACTATCAGTGAAAGTGAATGATTCAGGTATTTTTGTATTCAAATTATTCTTCTTCTGATGATCATCAGATTGATTTGTTGATAATTTTTTCGATTTTTTAGTTTTATTAATATTAAATAAAGAATAAGGAATACTTGGACGATTTATATCACTTTGTTGATGTTTTTGTCGATCATTCGTATGTAAAATATCAATGATAGAATTAGTATCATTCGAAGGAACTTTACTACTACTATTAATAGTATTATTATTATTATTGGTTGTAATGGGTAAAGTTGTTGTTTTAGGCTTGGAATGAATTGAAGTATCTTTATGCTTTTTTCGATACGGAAGTGTTCTACAATTGTAAGTAACAAAGAAAAAGAAATCAATTAAATTGAAAGGAATAAGAGAGGGGAAGAAGGGTGAATTCATTAAGTGATAATGATGAAGTGTAAGATGTTATTGTTATATAATACACGTTATGGTGGAATGAAAAAAAATATGAAGAAACTACATAAAATGTAATAGAAGTATTCAACTATCATGTTAGTTGCTTATTACTTCATACACATATTTAAATGGTTACGCATTGAATGCTCTGGTTAATTGTGTTGATTTCCATATCTTTTTAAACAATATGCTCAATTATTGTTATTTGCAAAGATGATTCAGTTCAGTTCAACTTAGCTAAGAGTTAATTAATAAATGTTCTTTACCATTCAGAGGAAAAAATTCGGCGAGAATCTAATTTATGGACGAGCCAATCAGAGACGTTTTAGAGATTTCAAGGTTACGGCGTCAACTTTAGTGCTTAATGCTAACGTACGATCGGTTCACAGGGAATTTTGTACAAAACGTGAAATCGAGCAGCTATAACAAATAAAATGATGAGACTATAATTTGTGGACGAGCCAATCAAGTATAAGATAATAAATCTCAGATTTTAACGCGAAAGCCTTTCATCCATTTGGCTAAATAAATTTCTGGCATTATAATTGATGTTAGTTTGTGATGAAAACCCCATATATAATTCCTAGCTAAGGCAAATTACGACAATTATCGCGAACTGGATAATAAAAGCACCAGTAACACTGGCTGCAGCCAGGTACTACAATATATACGGATGTTTGGAGAGAGTAAAGACTCCTGCACAGGCTTGGTTGTATGCATCGTGTCGTTATCCATAAGTAGCATTTTGTGTACTCAACAACCGGAGTGCACACAAACAATATTGAAGCTATGTGATCGAGGCTGAAAGAGTTTTTGAGACTTTATCATGGCTCCAAAGGCCGACTATTCTGTATGATTTCCTTTACTGCATGTATTACGATTTAAGAACCTCTTTCTAAACTTGACAAGTTTTTGAACCATGTAAAAGAAATCTATCCACTTTATTTTTATTCTATACTCAAGATTCGTTCAAAGGTCGTTTATAAATTATAGTCTCGCCAAAAATTCCACTGAATCATCATTTACTGATACAGTCAACCAGAAAAAGAAAGCGCTTAAAACAATTAACTCTTGAGAAAGAACATGTCAGTTATTTCAAATCATACAGTTTTGATTCCTTTGGGATATTATGTGCTAAACAAATAAAGCAAACTGTTTCATAATAAAAATGCAATGTCTGTAAAACATACGCCATTTAATAGGAAAGATATCATAAGAATGGTTGTTATTGGTAACTACTTTCAAGGTGATGGGTCAATTTAATTTGCAAAAATAAAGAAGTTTGGGAGAAAGAGAGGAGAAAAGAAAAAGATTTTTATTCACTGACGAACTGATTTACACAAGGGTTATGAAACATGAGAAAGAAATTCAATTCTACTATTGAAAGATGAGATAATTATAAACACTTCAATATACATAGGGAATGATCATATGAAATCTTGACAAGTTATGGATTACATTGACTAAACAATATTATTGATGAATTTGTCGACTATATTATGGAATTATTCTAATTTGTTTCAGTTCGTACGTAAATTATATGCAACATACTATTCACCGTTTTCATCCATTAAGTTGCAGATTCGAACTCCAATACTATCTTAGTAGTATCTTGAATCTGCAAAGACACTATTTGCTCCTAGATATCGTGATACAATAATAAGTGAGGAGAACATTTTCTTTATAACAGTCACGTAATTATACGTTCAGACTAACTGTAAAGGGAACATCCGACACTAAAAGCCGATTGGTGAATATAGAGAAAGAAAACTGGAAAACACTGATTCCAAATCAATGTTGTGTGTGAACTCCAAATTTTCTGAAAACATATATGGTATGTGAGCCTATTTTAGATGTTGGCTAATATCGCACTGATTCTCCTGTCGATACTTCACCAGCTTGTAAATTCAACCAACTAGGTCAAAGGAATGAGAAATCACATCCTAAGAAGACTATCTGCTTAAGCTTAAGTGTTCAGCAAGTATCTTAGCCTATAGTGACAAATAAAGAAAATACCCTGTTCGTCAAGTTTCATTATCTGTTTAAGAATTATTTAAAATAATGCAAAATTTGGATTAAATTTGTAGTAGAATAATGCTGTGCTTAATTGTAATTAGAAGTAGTATTGTTAATGAGGACAGGGAGGTGTACACGTGATAAATACTAGTCTGAAAAGAAAGAAAAATAATCCGACAACATATACACAGTATGTTGAATGAAATATATCGATTTGAACATAAAGAATAATGATAAGTAACAAAACAATATAATCTTCATTTCACAATTATTTTAAAAGGCACCCAAAATGCCATGGGGTACGGCCGAGTGTGGTGAGTCAGCCCTACTTCGAAAAATCCTCTCGCATGGCCACGTGCATACAACCAATGTCAGGGAAGTCCTACTCACTGAGTTCTCGCGGCATTTCTGCTGTTTACGAAATTGACAACACAAAAAGCGAATATCCGGTGCTTTAACTCGGTCGGTAGATACGGAGAATCCATCTAAGGGAGTTGGAAAACCCTAATTCCAAACTAATGGTGCACATGGGTTGGCTCCAGGATCTTGAAAGAATAAGTGGAGTGTGAACCTACAGTTGGTCCCCGGCTACCATGGAGCTGCATCTCCTGATGTTGCTCCACTGCCTCGTGGATTAGACCTTTAGGTCAAAGGCTCAGGAAATAACTTTAGAAGGAAACCACCTACTTCGGTTTGGGTACCCAGGCAGTAAGTATCCAAACCCTTACACAAATCGAATGATTTATATGGTGTATATCTGTTTGGTGCCTCGTTGTACCATTTTTTGCGTGTTTGAATAAATAAATGAATAATATCTCAAAAAAGAATTGAAAAATTGGAAGAACAGTTCTAATTACTATTGATAGGGTATTACGTTTTCATATATTATTACTCTTATTTTAAGCTCTATTCTGTCCTCATACATCTTAACACTTCAGTAGAAATGTCATCGGTTACATATTTACTTATACGAGTGACAAAATGCTTTAAGCTGTCGATTACATACAATCAGAAAATCTTGATTATACTATAAGAAGGAAGGTGTATAGAACATTTCAGTTTCCAGTTCAATAGTTGACTAATACAAATCAACAGTTATTTCTATGCATATTTGCACTTGCCTTAGAAAACATGGTATTTAGATATGTTTATAGTATGCAATTCAAGTCAAAACTGTTAATATGATGGTAGATGTCTCTTACAACATTTACATTTTAACATTTGGACAAATATTCACAATCTAGAAATGGTGTTTCTAATATATGTCACTTTATAATACATCATAGGGTTAACGACTAGTATAGAAATTTTAATTTCAGTGATAACGAATGAAATCATATATGCGCCACACAAGTCATCTAATTTGTGTGTGGGCTGTGATACTGCCCGGGTACCCAGACCGAAACAAGTGATCTCCTTAGGCGGCCACACCTGAAGTCATTGACCTAAAGGTCTGATCCACATGGTAATGGAGCAACATCAAGAGATGCAGTCCCATGGGAACCGGTGACCAACAATAGGTTCACACACCATTTGTTCCTTCAGAATCCCGGAGCCCATGTGCACCAGTGGTTTGAAATCAAGGTTTTCTAACTCCCCTAAATGAACCCTCCATATTCACCAACCCAGTTAAAGAACCGGGCATTCGCTTTTCGTTCTCTCAATTCCGTAAACAACACCCCCGTCACGAGCACATAGTGAGTAGAACTTCATTGGCAGTGGCTATGTAAGAGCATCTTTCGAGAGGCAAAGCTGATTCTCCCCACTCTGGACCCTACCAGAGCATTCAAATAAATTACAGATCATTTCTTTTTAAAACGAATGAATACACATTGGAGATGTTATTCATGAACACAGATAACACAAAAGAAGAACTGATTACAATAAGAAAAAAACGCACATATTAAATAAATTCCTTAATATATAACAAGTAGATGATGGAGAAGATTTTTAGATCAAGTGAATGATTTCGATAGTTTCACTTCTCTGAACTAAATGGTTTAGTTGTGGATCTTTCATCATTCTTCTGAACAATATCACCAGCATAAATTTGAAGTTTTTACTGAATGATGAAAGTTCCACGATCAAACCATTCAGTTCAAAGAACCGAAACTTCATCAAAAAACAATAACAAGTACTTTATTGATTCTACCAATTAATCATTGAAAAAAAAGGTTATCACATATTTCAGCTGATCTGAGCATATATATATATATATATATATATATATATATGGTGAATGTTGTAGGTACAAAATTAACCAATCAAATTGATTCGTTTGTTGTTACTATGTCTATTATCATATTGATTGATCATAAAGTGCATAGAATAGTGAATGGTACATCTATGATAAACTATAAAAACTGACTTTAAAAAGAAGACGTTTATTTGAAAGGAAAAAAAAAGATGATTTACCCAGTAAATGATCATAACTTCTTTATCTATTAATTTCTGTGTAACAATCCTGGATGAACTAATCAGGTATAAAGATAATAGGTCTTGGATTTTGGTCACGAAATTTATTTAGTTCAATAGAGTTTTAGCATTATAGCTAATTGTTAATTCATGTTGAAAACTTTAAATGTAATTTGTAACTTCAACAATCAATTGTATATCATAATTCTTATTCTACACACTAGTTTATAATCCTCATTTAGTCCTAATTAGTAAGTGGACACTCGCAAGATCACATTAACATCACTCAAGGATCGTCTATAAATTATCATCTCATCACATTTCTAAATTTCTAAGATGAAATCATTTCAATGGTATGTTGACATTTGAAGTTGATTGAAAGAAAAAAAATACAGAAAAAAGACAAGTGGAGATTGGATTGTACCGAAATTAAACCACAACATATGATATGGGAACAGAGTATACAAAAAAGGAAATATTCATTTAAACAGTTGAGATCATGAGTCAATTGAAGCTAGACCACCATGGAAAACCTGGAAGCACTGGACGGCCGTTTCGTCCTTGTATGGGACTTCTCAGCAGTGTGCATCCACGATCCCTCACCCCGCGAGATTTGAACCCAGGATCTATCAATCTCGCGCCAGGCGCTTAACCAACTAGACCACTGAGCCGGCATCCGACGGTGTTAATGCCTAACATGGAACCGATCAATTAGTTAGAATAAATAGAATCTAAATGTTCATATCTGAGATATCAATGATAATAGTTAAAGTAACAAGTAGTTGTGCAATGAAAAAAAAAATCCAGGACACACACACACAAAAAGTACAAGAAAAGCATGAACATCTATAGTGCATTAGTTCAAAGGTGCACATCAAATAATAATAATTACATGAATACACATAGACACAAATATACATGAATCTAGGATAATTATAGAAGCACACAGATATATATATATATATATATATATATATCGAGGAAACACAAAGATTTATCAATCCCATTTCCTCTATCTCTCTTTATCCTGTAACCATAATGCTTAGTTGAAATGTGCTTCGGAAGAGAATTATGATAAACAAAATAATCTACTGATGAACTATCAGTTGTTACTTAGTAGATATTTCATAATATTCTTATTGAAAGTTAGATTATGAAGAGCAATTCATTTAGTTAATAATTCAACTAAACTTATATATATTATGTCTGATAGATTAGTACTTTAAATGGTCGTAACAATTGTTCAACTTATTTTTATTGATTAAGATCATAAACCGATTGATGTTTCACCACCATTGAAAACCTGGAAACATTGGACGGCCATTTCGTCCTATTGTGGGACTCATCAGCAGTGTGCATCCACGATACCGCCCGCGGGATCTGAACTCAGGACATTCAGTCTCGTGCACGAACACAACCTACTAGACCACTAAGTGGGCATCCAACGGTGTTAATGTCTAACTTCAACCAATCCACGAAATTGCGCGACCATCTTCCAGTGTACTGAAGAGGATACCTGTTACTACGTGACACGGATTAGCTCCACTAGTCACGGCTTCTCATTAGAACTCCGAGAATTCCCTCACGAAGCTAGTCACTAGTGAGCAAATGGTAATTATCAGTATAAGGTTGTGGAGATTATCAAGTTATTGATTGAAATCATGAACTTGACACAGTGTATACTATAAATAACAGATTATAGAAGGTGACATTCATGCATTATAAAATTTTATGAACTTCCTAAGGAGAACAGATCATCATAAACTTTGATAACCGTAATCAATTGTTATTTTAATTCTACAGAATGTAAAATGATTGTCGCAGCCCACAATATGATAGAACTAATTGCAACAGACTATAAAATAGAAGTATCATTAAATGAAGTTGAAAATATTTTGAAGATTATCATTGTATTATGGTGATTATGGTTGGATTAAGGAGAAGCGATTAGTTTGTGCGGTTAGAATTACAGCCTCATGTAAATAAAGTCAACTGAAGAAAATGTACAATAGTGTTAAGATATGATTTATGCAAAAATTAATATTAATTATTGATAAATGAACTATGAAATTGAAAAACGCACGATAAATGTTTAAATGTAAAGTGCCTGAACTTCTTCCAAATGAACAACATCTGAAGTCGATCGATGTGAACGTCAGGTTTTTAAATTGTGGTGACTCAATCAAATTAAAGTGGATGGATGGAACATGTCAATTAATCAAATGAAAAATGGAACCTGGAAAGCGTGCATTTCGGTTTAAGTTGCCATAGCCCATAAGTGCAAAGAGATGAAAGTTTTAGAACGAATCCCAAGGTAATAGAGGTAGTAAGAGTATTAAAGGTAACAGATAAATATAGGTAACGAAGTTATGATTGGATGGAACACATATTCTTACAGGTCTCCACCAAACCAGGCGGGTTGTAATGATAGCGGTAACATTATAAAATAATGAACGGGTAAGGAAACGCCGGTCCCATCGGATGAACTTTCGTCACTGGCAGATGACCTTCGACGTACGGAGGTATTACAGCTAAAACTGTACACAAAAAGTGTGAGAGACCTCAAATAGTTGTCTCTTGAGATCTAAAACGACGCTTTTACGTTGACAAGATCATTATTATTCTGATCTATTCTTTATATATTTCAACGGAAAATATTTTCCTATAGTGTACACAACCAGAAACTGACAACCGTACACATACCTCTAACATTTAACGTTAATAAGAGCAATATTTGGGGGGGGGGGAAACAGTGCAAAAAGACACGGGTGAGCACACACACACACACATACACTAGCACAAAAATCTATGTTAATAGCCATTACGGAAAAAAAAATAACAGAAACAATGACATCAGTTTGTTTTTTCTTGTGTGCCTCTTCCAATCAACGAATTGATTACCTCACACTTTGGATCAAGGGAGGCAGAATTTTACCCAGTAAAAATAAAAATAAAAGCGTAAAATAAAATGTATGTGAAGTAAGCAAAAAAGAAAACAATTAGGTTGCACTACCTTCGTAACCATCCGATGAAGCTGTTGAAAAAATACAATAGGATAAAAAATATCTTAAATTAATTGTATGCACACAGGTACTCAATATAAACATATATATATATATATATATATATATATATATATATATATACGTATAGCCAAATAACAAATAATGAATAGCATTTGTCTATCAAACTGCAAACCGTATGCCAAAGAAACAAAAGTGATATCTTTAAACCAAATTTTGAAATGATCACCACCTCTATAACACCGTCAAGTTCATTTGTTAATTACTATTTACCAATTATAAGAGAGGCAGTGTACTCAGATTTAATCAATTGAATAATGCATTTAACAAAGTTGATTATAACAATTATAGATCGTTAGTTAAGTACTTTAACTATTAAATTGTCATTTAAGAAAATGATCAAAGAGTTTTATCACAGTATAATGATTTATTTTGGATAATACATCCAAGTCATACAAATCAAAAATACCATTTATGATTAATTATTTCATTAATAAGGAGCTCTACAACATCTGTCTGGAGAATAATAATACTCTAACAACTTCCTGACATAATTTACCACTAACTACTAAATAACGATGTCCTTGAACGATATAGTACTTTTCACTTCAACAGAAACACACTTTGCCAAAAGTATCATACCAAAACTGTTAAAAAGAAAAGACTAGCTCTCCAGAAAAAAAACAAAAACAAACAAAAATGCAATTGTTCAGTCTGGTCGAGATCACAGATCTAAAATATTAAGAGAATAAACAGACTGTTATAAAATTCTCCACATAAAGAGAAAATTATACCATTCTGAATATATTCGCAAAACGTTTTAAGAAATCACCATAAAGCTTATAAGAAATTTTATTACATTTTACACAGACCGAAAAACAAAGTAGTAAAATAAAATATGGAGTACCATCAAGTAGAAAAAGTACTGTTCTGGACAAAGTGGACTTCTCCTTCAACTATGTAAACACGAACAGACTAACAGTGAAGGTACGTGATACATCATTTATATAAACACAAGTGAACAACTATAGACACAGATATAATTGGGAAAATGTTTGGATCCTGGATAACGGAAATTCCAAGAAGCCCAAAGAATTTCTGTAAGCAGCTAGTGAGACCATCAAGTACAGCCGGAGACCTGGGATATATATCTATATACATATATCACCTCGAGGTGCTATACCACCATATCAGCAAGTCAGTCAACTACAACGTAAGACCAGGCACATATATGCATTGGTCCAAGTTGCCACACCTCATTAACACAAGAAGATGAACGTCGGATTCATAGAAGTAGTTAATTCAGTGGTGGTAATATATAAAAGAAAGATTGCATATAAGGACAGCAAGACAAATCCTAGCGTAGTAGAAGTATTAATAGTGTCAGTAGTAACAGAAGAGATTAGGTGTAGAAAAAGAAGAAAAGATATAAGGAGATTTCAGAATTTAGATTCTAAAAGAAGGCAAGGAGTGAGTGAATCTGCGCCACGTTTATTACACTTATAGTCCAGAGTGACGAGGATAGTTTATCAACAAATCTATAAAAAAAAACTACCTATTATAAGTATAACGTATGGGCAATTAACTTAATTTTGACTTGTAAAAATCATCAAAGAATAAATAACTATAAACCAGATAAAACGACTATATTTATCACAAAAAAGTTATCCGATTCATCCCAGTTTATGATGAAAATTCACATGGATCTTGTTATGACTTTATGTTCAGCTTTTTATCACATGATTTATCCACCAATCAAAATACGACTTATACAATCTTCGCACTGTGCGAAAACCAATGACGTCCGACCGGTATGAGCAGCTTAGCGTCCTGATCGGTTCTATATCCTCCTAACCCGTCCACTTGAGTCCAGAACACAATACCAGCTTCTGTAGTATGAATCGAATCATTTATTTCAGACATACCGGGTTTATATATCAACCAAATAGACCGCAATGCACCATAAAATAGGAGATAACATTTATACACAATAAAGCCAAAAAGTGGCTATGAACGTGTGAGATTGTAATAAATAAACTGAGTATAACTTAGGAACAGTAAATCGTACAATAATAATCTATAAGTCAAAATGAAGCTCTGTTTATATACTAATCAAGCAGACCACATCGTACCATAAAATGGAAAATAACATTGTACAATATTGACCAGTAGGAAAATGACACGTGAAATAAGTACTGACCAATAAGAGAATAATACCATCTCCAAGTCTAAGAATAGCATTAGACTTGATAGAATAATTTTTGGGATATTTTCCCCATAGTTATAAAGTTCAAAAGTAACAGAACCAAAATTACGAAAATTAAAAAACAAAAAAACAAGTGAAAGTATGAAAAATAGTTCTTTTGAAGGAAATCTTATACTGATGACCAGGGTAGAGGAAGTGATTGTACGATTCTCTTTTGAATACAAACGTCAGGTTTGTGAATATGGATCGCGATGGCTTCCGCAATGTGCAAGAGACGCACTCGTAAACCATGTGGCAAATTTGATGGGATATTGTAAATAATCTTAAAAGCTTTATTCAATTCAACTTGATGACCTGTGTCAACCAAGTGAGAGAGAGAGAGAGAGAGAATAGAACTTTTAATCCCTTTTACCTGTCCTTTGCTTACCCATGACGGATAACATTATTCAGTTAATTTGGCTCAGAAGTTACTCGTGATTTAATCTTCACTCGGATATACCAGAAGATTTCAAAATGCACAATATCTCATTATTATTATTGAAGTAAATCATAGCTATATGTTAATGATTAACATCGAAAATAGATATCTCAAGTCTGGAATGAATCGATGACCTGAAAAGTCGGCTAAAAATCGAGTTGATTTAATAACTTTGTGCATAATCGTGATTTAATCTTCGCTCGGATATAATAGATCTTTTTCATGATAATTAATTTGTTCAAAGAATTATTAAGAACAACAGAGAGAAATACTGTATGTAGTCATTTCTTATTTATCGAAATACTTCAAAAGTACCTTGAAGATTAGAGTTATATATTTGAAATAGTGAAAGAATACAAAAGAAGATTTAAATGAATGAATAGATGATCATTGATGATAACTAAACATTTGTCAATTATGAACACTAAAATCATAGTAAAACAACATGATAGAAGTGTACGGACAAGTTTAAGCAATTCTCAAGATGATCATCTGATCATGAAGACACTTTCAACCAAAAAGCAAAGAGTTTGTACAAATCAAAAAAGTATTAAACAGTAGAGATAATAAACCGTGTTAAAGTTTTATCATTTTTATACATTTGCTACTTTATCAAAGCTCATTATTAGTTATTTCTAACCTTAATATTGTAGAAATGTTGTTACGTAACTTCATGAATCCAAGTGAATATAATTTCACACTGAAATCTTCAATCTAATTCTTTCATAAAGTCAAAAATCTTTTATAAAACAATTTGTTGAAGATTTACAGAAATAGGATAATGCTGGCGTTAAGTTGAAAAATGAAATTCATCAGTCAGTCAGTCAGTCAGCTACAACGTAGGAACAGGCACATATGTGCATCGATCCAAGTTGTTATACCACATTAGCACAACAAGATGACCACCAAATTCATAGAAGTAGTTAATTCAGTGATGGTAATATATAGAAGAAAGATTGCATATAAGGATATAATACAGGAAAGAAGAATCGGTTGGTAGAAGAAAAAATATGAAGCGATTTTCATCTCATAGTTTGAAGGAAGACAAAGGCTAACACTACAAGTTAGTAACTTCAAGCACTGATGCCACGTTTTTGTTTGACCGCCCCTAAATTTCTTCCTGCTATGCCTAACACTAGTCACCATTGGACGTCGTGGTAATCGGTGTTCGGGCATACATAACACGTGGCCCAACCATCTCAGTCGATGAAGATTCACAACCTCATCAACTCATTTACCATCATCATTCCCTAATATCCTGCGTCTAACCTCACTATTACTTACCCGGTGATCCCAGTAGATCCAAGCTATATTTGTAAGACATCTGTGATCAAATACTAGTAGCTTACCAGTATCATCGACTCTTAATGACCATATTTCGCTGCTATACATACATTTAAAGTAATCATTATTTTGACATTCCTATTTGATTAATTCGTTGTTGTATTTACTAAGCTAATCAATACAACTAAGTCAATTGAACTAAAACCTGATTAATAAACATATTATGTAATCATTGTAAATAATAAAAACTGAATGCGCTTGATACGTTTAACATTCATATGACAACAACAACAACAACAACAACAACAACAACAAGAAACAAACCAACCAAAAAGAATTTTCTCTGAACAATTTTAAGAATTCTAATAATAATGCAAAATTATTCACATAGTAAATTACATATGATGAAACTTAGTCACTTTTGGAATTTCACACAAAAGCTTGTAAATTATATTAAAGATATTGTATGAACTCATTTCTTAGAATAATGATGTTGAGGAGAATGAAAACGGTATCATTGAAGAATTAATCTGAATTCAATAATTCCAAGTACAACTTACACATTCGAAATTGTGCGCAAAAATATCATTGTTCACACATACATACATACACACACACACACAGATGAAATATACTCTGACGACAGTTAGTGTGGATTTCGTAAATAACTATGCATGAAGGAGATGCTTCATGTTAGAAACACCTCAAATGATCTAATTCGCCTTATTTTGGTTTTATCGACAAACTGTTACTCTAATGAATAAACAAGTCATTTGTAACTTCTTTTTTTTCAATTCACATAACCATACTGACCGGTTATTATGGTTTTGGTATCTTTTGTTATCGATTCAGGTTAGACTGATGACGTGAAAATTCCTATAATTGGAGTTAAAATGCCGTTGAAAACGGAGAGTGAGTAAATATACCAAGATAACAATACTAATAACAAGTACGACAATTATATTGAATCAGCTGCAATAAGGATAATGTATGGAGATGATGAAAGTTCTAACGCGCTAAGATTAAGTCCTGAGTAAATCATTGTCATCATTGAATAAATAATCACTACCGACAAGTTGATTGGAAACAATCATCATTTTTGTCCAACTTGTTCATTATGTACTCAGGTATGAAAGTCTATGATATTAACTGTATGCCCGAACAGAAGTGAACAAAGCAGGGTTCGAACCCGAAACTTAGTGTCGAACCTCTGAACCATTGAGCAACCGCTCCACAACATCATCATAATATCAAGAAAATCTGTCAAACAACAACTACTTGTAAGGTATATTAAGTAGTGTGATAATAGAACAGATGAGAACTTACGGATTCTCTTCTGAATATGGAACAGCTGGATTTAATTTAATTGTTTGTTGTTCATTACCATTCTGCTTACTAGGTGACGATGATGAAGATGATGCTGACGAAGAAGACTTGTCAGCTGACTGTTTGATCGGTGAATTTTCACTACTACTAGTTGTTGGAGTAGTTAGTGAGCTGAAATAGTTCACAATAGTCCCAATAATAATAATAGTAATAACGATTATGACAATGATAGTACTACGAATGACTAACTACGATCAACATCACTACATACAGAAAGGATATTAATAAAATATAAACTAAGCAAAAGCCGGTAATAATTATATCGATGTCAGCAACAAGAGAAACAGTTAAGGGATTAATTCAAAGAAATGATTCAAGCAATTATAGTGAGAAGCTATGAACAGTGGAATCCAATCAAATGTGAGTGATTGAACGATAGGTTAACAATATCAAGTGCTTTATAGTTTTCATGGTTTATTTATAAGTAGTATGTTGTGGAACGTGGTGTCTAAGTTTCAATAATCGTCAGACGGAGTGAAGAGTCTCAATACAGAGAAAGCACGACGTAGGGAAAATACTTGGAGAGCAGACAAGAAGACAGTTCAGGTTGCAGAACACATCGAAATATGCAAATGGATAATTGAAGGCTATGTATATGTATTATGTAAACGCTTTGTAACTTCTCACAATAAATACAGATTCCTTCTGCATATTGCCTTATTTTACAGTCTAACTACACTAATCAATTCAAATAAATTAACCAACAACGAACCATCTTAGTCGGGTAAGTGAAGATTAACTATACAAACTACTCAGCTAATATACATCCACAAATTGAAAATATGCAAAAATACGTTTATCGTTTGATAGAAAGTCACTATCAGACATATTACGTATAAAAACAAAAAACCTTACTTTGGTATATTTGACATTGGTGGTGCTCTAGACAATGGACATTTCAAACCAGGTGACTGGGAATCTGAACCATTCGGGCGAACCTTATCTGACATACTAAAAGTATTCATACGTCGTACAGATAACTGATCACCACCACTAGAGGATTCGATCATTATATCTTTACTTTCATCGATTTTCTCTTGACCAGAAGAATCATCCAGATTAGAGTCATTAGCACGTTCGCGTAGGTCAGATACACGAATACGTGGAAGCAGATGAGATCTACGTGCGTATTTAGAAAGCAAATAAAAAAACAAAAAAAATAAATAAATACAACGACAATAATGCTAACAATGTTGGAATTAACTAATCACCGCATAAGCAACAAAAGTCCGCTTATATCTACGCTAGTATCTGTCAGATATTAGCAACGTTGGATCTGGTACATGTGTGTATCTGTTCAAGTCGTCACAGCACATAAACATAGAGAGCTAAATTATTAACACAAATATTAAAAGTAGTAACATTATCAGTGATAGTAGAAAAGATTAGGCATAAGCAACATGGTTCAAAAAAGAATAAATTAGAGGAATAAAAAGTTTAAGTTTCTAGACAACGACTGAATGCATCTATGCCGTTACAACTGATTCTGAGCCAAGCTATTCAATGGCTTTAACCTTTTGTTACTGTTATGATGTGGAGTCTGTGTATTGATACTTATACAAAATTTTCTTACACATGAACATGTACTATATATATATATATATATCAGAAAAGTAGTCCGCCAATGGCTGACGTCGCATATCTAGGACAAATTTTCATTATCGTTCCACGACGAAATAGTTGTCTAGTGTTTCCTGGATTTAACTGGTTTTTAATATCAATGATATAAATCATAAATGTTAATAGTGTTCTTCAAACTAAGTTACTTCATAAACTGATAGAGTTAGAAATATAGGAAGAGTAAGAGTTAGCAAAGAGGATCTCAACCGGAACGGTATGAAACAATAGTCCACGTTATATATCATCAAGTCACTAGATTTTGTCTGTTTCTGTGACAAAGAAAATTTTCAGACAAAAAAAACTCAGTACAAAATGATCTTGATGACGTCATTTTCACTGAAACTTGACACTAACTGGTAGCTAATGTAAACTTTTGGTAAACGATAACAAAGTTGAAAATGATACTTATTTTTTAATGGTAAAACGTGATTAGCTAAAAACAAACCAAAAAAACTACCTGCTTCAATTTGGGCATCGAACAGTATCACAGCCCATACACAAATCAAGTGACTTATGTGGCGCACATGAACAGTCACTATGAAAATGCATCTATCACGTTATATCGCAATTTTAATTTCATTATGGACGGTTATAAAATTTATGTGTTTGATTGAAATACTGACCGCAGTTCAGGCTGAAGCAGGAGATCTACTCGGGAAACCTTTCTTCTGAGAATTAGGACTAATGGATATACCAGTGAAACAAAGTTAAGATAGATCGCTCCAGGATATCCGTAGATAAACCAAAGTCCGTACCATTATTTCTTCCCTACAGATGTTGATCCAACGTACAACGTTAATATGGAATCAAGGTTTTTCAATTTCCTCAGATGCACCTACAATACGCACTAGCCCGGTTTAGGCATGGAAGACTGGCCATTCTTTCTTTTACTTTCTCAAAAAAACTAACCCACAATGTGAAAGGAGTAAGAAGAGTTTCGTGAGTGATCTCATGACAACATTTACAGATGTGATTTTACCCAACTAATAGACATCTAGAATAAACCAAATCTATTTTAAGCAATCACAATACAGTAAGATACGTAGAATGCACATCGATTTACAACGATGTGTAAAATCTTGTCTTTGTCAAAGAAAAAAATGATTGAGATTACAGCAATGTCTATTTTAAGTATATGGTAAGTCGATTTATAATAGCATTATTATCACTGATACCAGTATTATTATTTTGTTTATTATCTCACTGTATTAAGGTAATGTAGATCTATGTACTTATATGCACCAGGTTCGATAATGTTTAGGATTAACAGATCAAAGTATTAACATCATCTGTTTCAAAATAAGCATACTTCAAGTAGGCTAAATATGTATTATAGCCTATTGACAATAACCAAAACAAGAGTAATCATACTGAACAACATATTAAATAGTTTTATGACTAATATAATCATTATTGAATTAATTGACTGGATTGAACAAGTTGTATTATTTGTTTTTCTTTGAGATATTATCTAAAACAGTTAGTAAATAGAGTAGTCAGTAAGTCAGTCAGTTTGGAACGCTGTTAGAAGTATGAGGACGATTATCACTTCCCGGTTGCCCACACCGTGGAAGGATTCTTCTGGAGGTACCTGAAAAGGAAAATGGATTAAAGGTGGTCTTAGTGACCTGAGAGTGTGACCGCACTACCCAAAAGACAACTGCTTGTGGTCGGTCACACACGACGTTTTTGAGGGTAGTGGGTAGTCAGTGAAACATAGATTGAACAGTAGTATTCAAATACGATATCTTTGAGGAGGCATATTTAAATATAAACACATAAGCACAAAATACATGAAATGAGAAACAATTGCTGATGATGATAATAATAACAATAATAATAACTCACTTTTCATCTACACTAGGTTTCTCTTGCCTATTCGCTGTTGGACCAGCACTTGCACTGGAATTAAAAAAACATTGAAGCGGTTTTCATGAAATAACAAGAGGATTAATCAGGGAGAGCTGAATCATTCAAACGATCACACCAGACATTCAATCACAGGTAACTCAATCAGCTTAAGTTGACATATCACACAAATAGAAAGGATACAAACAAGATAATTAAACACATACATAAATGCATACATACACACTGACATTTACATGAATTTATTTCAGTGGTGAAGTGTGAAAATTCAATTGATTTGCTAACCTTTGTTTCATCCAAGAGATACCACTGATCCGTCGCACTCCATTATATTGAGATCCACTATCGTCTTGTCCAGATTCTTCTAGGTGAAAAAAAAACAGGAGAGATCAAAAAGTACGTTACAACTCGAAGTGAAATAATCTAAAACTAGATTTAATTCATGAAAAAAAAACCAGTTGAGAAATATATAGACAAACAATAAGCGATAACTTTTCATAGGTTAAACAGTTAGGATAACAGATTAAGAAAATATAAAATGATTGATATTTTGGACACAAGAAGAATTCAACCATGAACAAAGTCAGTATGAATGTTATGAGGTAGTTGTGCAGTTGTTACATTCCAGATTTTCAACTTCTTAAAAAGATACTTATACCGGAGGGGCTTGAAAAAGAAACTGAGTTTGTAGTAGTCTCGACGACCACTGAACATGACCATATGGATTAAGTGGCAACTGCATTATGTCAGCCACATAAGACCATCTTGTAAGTAGTCTTGATGCATTAGTTTTGCACATTTCATGTCCTACTAGATTTGAACCCGGGACCTATCAGTTTCTTGCGCAAGCGTGTAACCACTAGACCACTGAGCCCGTATCCAACGGTGTTAATATATATTTTATTTATTTATTTGAACACATAAATATTGGTACAAGAGTGTGCCAAATATATATGCGCCACACAAAACAATGAGAATACGAAGAAGAAAAGGGAAATAAAGGTAAGGAGCGCAAAAAAAGAACAATAACGAACAGATTAGTGTAAGGTAGTGTAATAATAATATTAGTAATAATGGGGGAACGGAAAGGTACAATCAGAAGAAATCTATCAGTTAAGGAAGATACAACCACTTTTTACGAAGAAAGTAAAAGAAGGTTACATCAAGATCGCCACTGGCTTCTATTCTGAGCCATATCCGATAACGTCTCTAGCCACTGTGTAGCACCATCTCTCGAAACCCAACCAGGGAGTCGTGAAGGACCAACACAAGCCAGCCTTTTGCAGCTTTCTTTCATCCCACGACACCATGTCATATACTGACCACCTCTCCGCTTTTTCCAACCAGTCCCAGAGTCGGCAAATAATGCATGACGTGGAATTCTCTGGGACGACATTCGTAGAGCATGTCCAAGCTACCGAAGTCGGTGTTTCAAGATGGTAACACCAATTGAATTATCATCTCTGTGCCCGAACACACGATGCCGAACCTCTGCATTACTAACATGGTGTTGCCACTGAATGTCAGCAATCCTTAGGAGACAGCGATGATCGAACACAGAGAGTCGTCTAACGTCCTCAATTCGTAGAGGCCAGGTTTCACAAGCATAGAGCAAAACTGCTCTCACCGACGCGTTGTAGATCCGACCTTTACAGCCAGACTAACATCACGAAGGCGCCAAAGGTGGCCCAGATTGGCATAAGCCGCTCTGGCTTTCACTATACGTGCATTGATCTCATCATTCACAACCTCCCAACACTTATGCAGCTACCCAGATACACGAAAATCTCGACTACTTGTATCTGCTCACCATCCAGGGTGAATGCAGGATTCGCTTTTCGTGTTTTTAATTTCGTAAACAATAGTAATGCTGCGAGAAGGCAGTGACTGTATGCATGTGACCATGTGGAAGCATGTTTCGAATGAGAGCCGACTCTCTCCACCATCGACCGTACTCAAATACTGAGTATACACCACAGCAGATGAAAACTGATAACAAGTCAACTGACGATCTACGCTTACAATTTACAAATGTGAGTAAATGAAGTACCATTTAAAAAAGTTGATAAATGAATGGAAATTAAAACAAATAAAACTACAGTCAGACTAAGTTGTTGCATCATTTCGTGAAGTCATTAACCATTGTACTAAACCTTTTTAGATATTTATTTTCCTTGAGTCATATTCTGTATGTAAGTAATTTTCTAATACAAATGCTACTATTCTGTCTTAATCATTCCAACTTCCTATGTTAATATCGTGTAACAATTTGAACTGATCAATTTATCCCCCCAAGTTTACATGTCACTTAATAACTAAGTAAGAAAAGTTCCATCACGAATCTGAACTATACTTTTATTATGTATAAAGGTTAATAGATGATTCTGTTGTATGTGTAGAACAGGAATCAGACCAGAGACTGTCATAACTTGTGGTCTGTGTGCCCCGTTAATGTATAACGTGATGATACAGCCAATCGGAGAGCAGTGAATTATCGACTGGACCAATGACACATAAAAACCATGCGAGCAGTCTAGAGTCCTGCCTCCTGCCTAGCTCAGCCAGTCAAGTTCAGAACACAAATCTCAGCCTCTGCCATATGAATAATTGATTTCAAACATACTGGGTTTATATATCAACCAAATAGACCACATTGTACCATAAAACAGGAAACAACATTTGTACAAGTTTCAGTCAAATTTGGCTGTGAATGTGGGAGATAGTAAGTGATAGACAGAGCATAAATAAAGAATGGTAAATCGTATAATAACAGTTCATAGGTTAAAATAAACCTTATCATAAGAGCAACATGACTATGAATAGTTCAATGACTGAAAAATTATACGATAAAAATATATCCATAGTATTGTTAGATAAATGGATCCCAAAAGTTACTAAATGTCCTTGTACGACGGAGTGTGGTGAGAGTCCGCTCTCCCTCTCGAAATGCTCTCACATGACCACACGTATAAAGCCTTTGCCAGGGAAGTCCTAATCACTGACTTCTCACGGCTGAGATGTTCATTATGAAATTGATAGAACGAAAAGCGAATGTCCAGTGTTTTAACCGTGTTGTTGGACACGGAGAATCCACCTAGGGAATTTGAAAAACCCCGATTACAATTCAATGGTGTACATGGGACTAAACCTCCTTCCGATGCTCCATTGTCTTGTGGATCAAACCTTTAGGTCGAAGGTGTGGCACCCAGGCAATATCACATCCCTCATACAAATCAAATGAGATATATGTGGTGCATATGTATCTGGTGCCTCCTCGTACCAATAACTATGTGTCCACATAAATAAATAAATAAACACATAACTTATCGGGATATAACAAGATCGATTAGTCTAAATCTAAATACATTAACCATAATCTTTATTGTTACAGTTTATTACATTTTTTACAAATTGACATTGTGTAATAGATGAATTGGATTGTCTTTATTACAAAAAATATGTGATCAATAATCTGTACCACTACTATTTGACGAGTATACATAAACCAAGTTATAGGTTAGTGTGGATGTGTAAGTGTGTGTGAGGGGGGGAGTGTTCTTTTGTGTCGTTATCGTTACAAACTACATTTGAATAGACACTAAACGATAAACTGTAGAGTAAAAACAAAGGTGAATAATCTTAAATTACTCATAATAGACAAGTAGAATACAATTATGAAGTGAAATGAATTGAGAATACATGTGTCCATGTATAATAACACAATATTTATATGCTAATGAATTCAGCAATTCATCAAATACATTAGTTCAGTCAATGTTTAATTTTATTGTTATTTAGTTTAGCATTGCTAGAATTTACGTGATTTAACCAAATTATGGTTTACAAGTGAAAAAGATTATTCAAAATAAAATCATTAATTAAGATTTGAACTATTCTTCACCTTTTCAGTCAGTCAATCAGTTACAATATAGGACCAGGCACATATGTGCATCGGTTCAAGTTGGCATACCTCGTTCAGGTGTGTTAACGCAGACCAGTGATGAAACAACAACTTGCATTTGGAAGAGGAGAAACGCATCCCAAATATTCTGACATTGTTGCTTAGTGATAACAGAAGACTCTGCATTTTATCAGCGACTTCACTAAACAGGACTATATCATCTGCGTACTCTAAGTCGATAAGTGGATTTCGTGGTAGGAGATCAATACCCGAGAATTCAGTTGATGAGAGCGTTATTTCCATCAGTAGGTCTATGATGAAGTTAAACAAAAATGGGGAAAGTGGACAGCCTTGACGGACACCACTTGAAGTTGCAAAAGTAGATGACAGTTCGCCATAAACTCTGACTCGACTGGTAGTGTTCGAGTAGAGAGCCTTCACAAGGTTTATGTACTTCTGAGGTACGCCTTTCAATGACAGACACTGCCACAGAATCTCGTGGTCTACGGAGTCAGATGCTGCTTTCAAGTCTAGAAAGAATAGATTAGTAGCATAACTAACCCGTATATAATTAGTCTAGATTAAATACTTAAATAATGAGTTACATTAAATTTAAACGATGTACTAATATACAAACAAAATGTCACCTGCAAACGAAGTAGTATTGTTTAAGATGTTGGTTATTTAGAGCGTTATAACAATATTATACAGCAAACAGTAGAACTTCACTTTCGTTCAAACTGCATAAACGCTAAGATAGTGTTAAATAAAAATGTCTGGTTGCTATGGAGGAATATTGTAAACAATGAAAATACATACATATCAATTATTATGACCCAGTTACTCTTATATTGCTAAGTGCTCATGGACACGACTTCATTTGACATGCCCATAAATCGGAACACGGTTGGATGGAAGTAGGAATCACAAAAAAAACGTTAATATATTTATAATTTTTAGATAAGATTCTAATGACCTCTCCAATCTCCGTTAGCGCTGATTGGTTAAGAAATAACCAATCAGTGTTTTTCAATACAGTCCTGGACGGAACAGTACTTAACCTAATCTACATCTCACTAATAGTAATACATTAAAAAAATTGAGTATCTACTTTAAATTTACAAAATGGTCCACTTTATGAACTTCTAAATACTTTTCTTTAAATGAATATATAAGATTATATACATAAATGTCAAGATTAGAACGAATAGTTTGACAGTAATTGAGCGCCGAGTGTAGAGAAGTCATTATATGTGAAAATTATATTTGAAATATTCTCAGCAATTTAAATAATTCCAACGTTTCGTCCAGCTAACTTATCTGGACTTCTTTAGGGTAATAATCAAAATCATCAAAGAAATATATAGCTATTTTAACAATCAGAATTATACTGTGTTAAACCAATCATATTTGGATGTTGATTTTTGTAAAATAGGATCGAATGAAGAATTCAACTACATGGAATGAGTGTGTTTTAACCTAATATGAGACTTTTCAGCAATACATATCGTAAACGCACCAGGGAATAACCCCAAGACTATTATGTTTTGAGTCGAGCATTTAAAAACAATGAAATAACATTTAATGGTCAACATAATTGATTTCAATCAATTCATAATAATGAACCATGTTTCAATGTTCTTATTGATAAATTACTGCCTCACATTTAATAAAGTGGTACTGCCTTGGTGACACATTTACATTAGAATTCAAAGAATTATCTCTTACAATTAGTCACTAATGTAATACATGATTGTTATGAATGCAAGAAAGAATATCGACAACACTTAATAATATTCAGGTAAAGAAAGAGTTAGAGTTTGAGGAAGAAATTATAGAATAACAATAATCATTATGTAATATATCGATAATCAATACAAATCAATAAAAAAACAAAAGAAAAATCGACATAAACATGTAAATAATTTTTTGTAATTTTCAACAAGAGAATCTAACTTATACAAAAGCTCAAACATGTGCGCACACACACACACGCCAGAATGAGAACAATTGCATAACAACAACAACAAAAATAATAATAATCAGCCATTAAAACTTTTTTTTGAATCAGATCAATAAAACTCATTTCCTTCGATCGTATAGCCAGAGAGAGAGAGGGGGGGGAGAGAGAGAGTAAACGAGTATGTACAATAAAGAGAAAAGAGTATATTTTTGTTGTTGTTACTTTTCCATAGAAATAAAATAAATTTTATCGATTAAATGTATGCAATATTAAAACAATCAAATAAATGATAATAAAAATGGATAAATTGTTTTATGTACTTGGAGAAATCGAGGTGTGTGTGTGTGTGTGAGAGCGTGAAGACCAACTGAATTACATAAGTCATTTTATACAAAAATGCATTATAAATTGATTCTAGCTATGCGAATTAGATGTTACCACAGTAAGTAGAGTGAATGTAAGATAAAAGATTATTTCAATGGAACCTCCTTTATGTCCACTTTAAAATAACTCTTAATACAACCTTAAAACTATTGAGAAAACCAAAACAAACAAACAATTTATTCATCGCTTCCACTAACGATGATTTAGCCATATCCAGTGGAAACAAATGGCGTATGAACCAATCGTTGGTCACCGGCTACCATGAGACTGCATCTCCTCACGATGCTCCACTGCCTTTTGGGTTAGACATTTAGGTCAAAGGCTCGGGGTGTGGCCCCCTAAGAAAACCACCTGCTTCGGTTTTGGGCACCCAGACTGTATCACAGCCCACATACAAACGTGTGACGCATATATATTTGGTGCCCTCCTGTACCAATATTTATGTGTTCAAATAAATAATATATATACATATGTTGGTATTAGTATGTTTATCTGATATATCCTCAGGATATGTCAGTCACAAAGCGAATTCTGTGGTATCTCTCTAATTTAATAGCATGAGTGCAGTTTATAATTTCAAATTGTAGATCACTAAAAATCTAATCATTTAGTTGATATTAGTCAAATTTCCAAGATATCATTCCATTACTTTCTATCTAATAAAAGATAAGCTTGTTGTTGAACAAATGAGTCTACATTTTGATTGAAATTTCAGTTTAACTCTGTTTACCTTCAACAGAGAGGTTGTTTTATTGATTCGAGTAGGATAACACCATTGAATATCAGATTTCGAAATGAAATTCAATTACAGTTGAAAAATTAAAATTAGTTCAATAAGAAGATGCAATGTAAAACCTGGGCACAGGATTGTAGTCTTAAGTAAAATTTTAGTATTATAACTCTTTTTAAGTCAATGAATAACTTGAGTACTTTAAAAAACCGTATAATTAATGATTGAGTTTTGTATTAGATTTAAATAGGAGATAATTGTTTAATGGTTAACAAACAAAATTATATGGATTCGAACCCATTCCTTCGGATTTGCTCCAGGCATCTATGTAATATCACTAGACTTCATAACTGAGGAATGTGTATAACTCAAACAGTAGATAAGTATACTAATGCTTGTTGAATTGTTAAGTAACACATTGAAATATAATCAAATTCACCCATTTGAAATTATGCAAAGCTGAAAATAGTTTTTTTAACAGTAATAAAACTCGGAACTATTCAGCTACCACGTCAATTCTCTCTCTCTCTCTCTCTCTCTCTCTCTCTCTATATATATATATATATATATATATATATATATATATATAGTTAATGAATTAATGTAGTTACACAATGTTGTGTTTGTCATATTATCTACGATTAAGATTCAAAGGAATTTTTGAAAGTGATGTAGCTGCTACGTTGACAAGTTCGTTGCTTATGTTTGTCTCGATGACCCAGTCGAGCTATATTAGCTGAAACAATTGCTTTAGGTCTTACCACCCCAGTAAATTCATGGTTCTAGGGAGAAAGAGCACTCCTAACTGTATTCGACAATGTGATGGCAATAATATATGTCCCTAAGAGTAGCGGCATCTTAAACGATGATGCCTTCCAAAAGCGGGTGTGTAGAAAAAGCCGTATTTTAAATATCCACATCATAACATCCCCAACAAATTCCCGATGTAAGCCGAAACACCTTACAAATAAAAGAGTCTCAATCGGTTCTTTCTTGGGCTTGTACAAATCATCATTCACTTATTTTCCTTAATATGTTGCACGAGAAGTATCCTTGAACTATGGAGTCGATTTGTACGTGACAAGCCTCTCTCTCCCTACCAAACTACTGAAACCACTCAAAATCATCTTATCTATGAGTGTATATTATCAAAATGATGAGATGAGATAGTAGTATAGTACGATAAAGGACTGATTACTTACTACTAGAAGACGGTTTTTAGGAATACATGCACAAATCTCTAGCATAGTGTATACCACAAATACACATATAATAAATTAACTTTTTGATGAAACAATACTGTTTCGGCAATTAGATAGGAAAATAAACATTTATAAAACATTGTGGCTTAAAACAGATAATATAAACCTGTATTGGTGAAAAATGAGATACGATTATTTCCACACATATTTCTATTTCATGTGTAGGACGTTGTGTATCTAGTAGATTGCAGTTAAACTGTAAGTAAATTTTATTTCACAACTCACTACTACTGTGGTGTGAGTTATTTATATCCACATAAGTAGTATATAACAGCAGACAGGGATAGAATGTATTTCAGTAGGAAAGAACGGAAACGGAAGGCAATTGGTATGAAAATGTAGGAACAATGAAATCTGAGACGATGGACCGATATTTTCAAAAGGAACAATCGAGTTTAAGATAATTGATTGATATTTTGCAAATGAATTATTTACTGTATTGTTCTCAGATTTTAGTTAGATGTTCTGTAATTTTGTGCTCAAATACATCCGATTATTCCCACAAGTGTTCTTGTTCACTACACTACAGTCACAACCATATGGTGTAAAAGCCACATTTTAAAAATCGATTAACCACAATAACAGGACACAAGATGAATATTAGTATGAGAGATTTGAAGAGATTGTAGTATTTTCATAGTTGATACCACGAATTGATCGTAACCAGGCCACCGTTGAAATCCTGGATTTCAACTGTGAAAATACAACAATTTATACTAATCCCCCATACTTATAATATTCATCTGATAACTAGTGACTAGATTCGAAATATAACTCTCGGAGTTCTAGTGAAACGCCATGACGAGTTCAAAACGTGTGGGGTGTGAGACAGTCATCCGCCACAGGCAACGGATAAAGGCCCAAGATCATAGATTGATTCGAGTTAGAGATTAATACTGTTGGATATCAGTTCGGTAGCCTAGATGTTGAGCGTTTGCGCGTGAAACCGAACGTTCTGGGTTTGAGTGGATGCGCACTAACGGCATCCCATACTAGAACAATGGTATCCAATAGATCGATTTTTAAACGTTTAACCAACTCAACTGATTTATCCCCCACCCCCATGAGAATCATAATGTAAAGCGATCTACAAACGTAGATAAATTGGCCTAAATGTAGTACCGATCAGGAATTTTCGTACATTAATTTAAACCGCACTGCAGTATTCAATTCTTCATTTTGCCATGGTGTTAAATTGACTGTTTTAATTGTATGTGCTATGATCACCATGAGTTCATTTATTCTACATCCTTTGTTATATTTGTCAAACAGATAATTACCTTTCACACAATTCTCTTCCTTGCACTATTTACATACCATATTTCTTGAAATTCAAACATTAATCAATTAACTGTTATATCACAATCTGTCTATTTCCATCATACTATAATGTGACGCACTATATATTTGATGCTCAATTGTAAAGGAATATGTAAAAATTCTGATTATATAACATTTATGAACTCACTTTTATTCTGGTATGTTAATCCATTTTGATTAGTTTTCTGTTTATTATTACTGTTATTATTCCCATTGGGATTGTCTAAAGAAGATTGACCTTTCGATGATGTAGTAGTTTCATCTTCTGTAACAGTAGCAGGAGTAGACGAGGCTGCAATTGTAATACCTTCGGAACAAGATGATTGGCGATGATGATGATTAAGTCCTGTATTCCCATGTAATGATTGTGATTGATTAGATGGAAAAAGACTACCAGCTGGTAAAGTTAATCTTGTTTTTGGATCAGCTAATAATAGATAAATTGCAGTGACATTATTAAAACTTTGTTTGATTAAAGCTTCACGAACATCATCCGGTCGATAACCCATAATACGCATAATTTCTAAGTAATAATACAAATAAATATGCATATGAATATTATGAAAAAATCAATTTTCAAAGAGTAACAATACTATTTTAGTTATACATACAGCACAATCTCAAAAATCGACTTATATATATATATATATATATATATGGATTTTGGAACTTTCAATAAGAATGTAATTAGCATTAGTGAAGACAGAATATATTTTCGTTGAAAAACTAAAAGATTAATCATTTAATGTTATTGATATTCCATGCATTTTATCAATATAGTATAGAAACTATTCGAAATTTGTAGAATTTACACACACACACACACACCGAGAGAGAGAGATCCACAAAAAACATGAAAGGTCACTAATGATTAGATAATTTCCAGAAATTTAGTGACAAGATGTTAGCATTGAAGTCCAAATTTGTTGAATATGTTATTTATTTTATTTGAACAGATAGATATTGGTACAACGAGGTACCGAACAAAGATGCGCCACACTTGGTCATTCGATTTGTGTGAAGGATGGGATACTGTTCGAGCACCCAAAATGAAGCAGGTGGTTTTCTTAGGGGGCCACAACCGGAGCCTTCAACTTAAAGATCTGATCCACAAGGTAGTAGAGCAACGTCAGGAGGTGCTGTCCCATGATATCCAGTGACCAATAATTAGTTTATACGCCATTCGTTCCTTCATGATACTAGAGCCCATTTGCACCACTGGTTTAGAGTCACGGTTTTCCAACTTTCCTAGGTGAACACTCCATATCTACTAAGCCGTTGTCAATTCCGTAAACAACACCCTTGCCATGAGAAGGCAGTGAATAGGACCTTCCTAGTAGAGGCTATATACATGTGGCCGTGTGAGGCATTTTTCGAGGGAGAGCGGACTCTCTCCACCATACCAAGGCATTTGGGGGCTGTTCAATGTTTAACAGTTACTTATCAATAATAGCATTGATTGAAATTAGATAATGTAGACCAATGAGGGCTGATTAAGTGGTCTAATTGTTAAGTTCATAATTCAAGACCTGGAGGTCTTGTGTTATATTCCAAGTAAAGTTTTGGATTTGAATTGCAAAAAAGTCCCACACTAGATCGAAAGGTAAGCTACAACAAACAACAACACATCCAATACACTACACTACATACAATCGGTTCAAAAATGTTGTTTATTGTGATTGTTAAACACAGACGGATATCCTTGATAAATAGTATGATTTTGTAGTATTAAAGCTCATAGTAAACACTTTCAGATTTGAGATTTAAAAAAATACAAAACACTCTCTTTACTATGTTAATCTTTCGTTCATAAAGTCTCTATGCATAGATGTATTGAAATAGCGATCACTGATGACAAAATCAATTTTGTACCGCAGATTACTTCTCCCCCACTCTCTATCTACCTATTAGAGAAAAAAGAACATCATATGAATAAACATCTAGTTAGAAAAAAGGCGGACAATCTACAAACCTCTTCCCATGTATTCAATGTAAAAATTTACCTAATCTCTCTGTATCATTATAATCCGGAGGTGGTTCAGTATATGGTTTTAAAATATTATCTTCATAGCCAATATTCAACCATTTATCAGACATGACATTCTATAAACAAATTGCAAAAAGAAAAAAAAACAATTTAGAATACATTCAAACTGAAATGATGAAAAGTGTTGACAGGAAAATGAGAAAAACCAGAATATCTCATTGTGTATGTGTGTGTGTGTGTGGTATCATTTCTTTCTAGAAACAGATTATATTACAACGATAGATAGTGGCTAGCAGTGGAATTCGAGACGCGCGTTTCATTCTATTTGGAGTTCGTCAGTTGGATGTACCTGCATTACAGATATGATGTTCATGGTGTTTGAAGCGAATAATACTGAGTTCGAATTCGAGTTTGAGAGTGTACATTAACTTTGAGATGCAGGAACATCCAGCTGACGACTCCCAAATAAAAAGAAACGCGCGTTCCGGATTCTACTGCTAGCCACTATCCATCTTAACATATAATACTTGTGAATTAAGGCTATATCGAGCCAATGTGCACAGTATGCAGATATGCCAATAACAGACTGATCAATTGTAGTCCTAAACATCAATGGGAAGATTTCAACAAACAATACTGAAGTGGCTGTTATAACGCAGTAAATATCAAGAAAGCTGTAAATCATGGAACCAATTTATGGATTATTATCATAGATATTTTTATTATATAATTAGTATTTAACTGAACTACAAAATTTCCGTATTTCCCTTCACTGGGAGTTTTCTTTGGATCTTTTAATTATTGTTATACATTTTATTATTTCATAATGATCGCTAACTAATTATGCAATCATATCAACATTCTATACAACCACTAATGGAAAAATGGAATAATAGAGGCCAGCTAAAACTAAACTAACCGATATTACACTAATCGACTTAAATAGATATATAAAAGCACTAAAGACTATCGTTTCCAGTGAGAGAAAAAATTCGACAATAACATCAAGTTAAGAACATTGATTTCATCTGGGATCAATTAAAAATTTAGTAGAATGAATCCTTCTTAGTTGAAACACTGTGGATCTCAATTATCAGTTCACAATTTCATATAGTTTAATTTTAAACAGCCATATATAGAATTGATAGCATTCAAACGAATCATAAATCATAAAGCTAAGCACCTTGAGTATATATATATACTACTAAACCCAGTAAATCAGTTATTGATTATTCCAAAATGGTTATATCAGAAGAAATCGATAATATAACAGAGGGGAAATGAAACATTTACACTAATAATAATTCAATAATGAACAAATCACTTTTTTTTAAAAAAATTTACTTATATAACGAAATAAAATTCCAACTGAAAACTCTGTAGGCATAGCAACAAAATAGAATGAAAAAGATTCGTATTATTATTATTATTATTTCAGATGCCTATCAACTAACTGAATATAAATATGTGGGCACATAATTGGGATATGAAGAAGAGGACAAACAAACGAGAAAAATGAAGCGAAAAAACAAACAAACAAACAAACAGTAAAATCGATATATTTTTTCACAGATCTAATAAGTGAAAAGAAACAATTAATCAATCATTTATAAATCAAGACGATGATATACACAAAAGAATCTATGTACCTATTTATCTATCTATCTATCTATTCATATATACGCATTCATGAACAACTCTTCACTATAAGAAAATTAAACAATGTCCAATAAATATGTTATAAGAAATGATAAACAACTTGTTTACACAACTATTTATACCCTTGTTTAGATTGAAACCACACAGTAAACATTTTCACACCATGATTATTATTATTATTATTATTACTGTATTAAATGATAGTTGTGGAACATACCAATAGTGTTTTTAGTTGTATTTATTCTAGTAGATGCAGGTAATAGTAGTATCTAAGATGCACGTTACATGTTGATTAGTACTTGTCACCTAGATGCAATAATCATCCCAATATTAATGTTCATTCATAAAAAAACTCAAGTTGAACACCTATTGCTTCAAACGCTAACACTTTATCCATTAAGGTATTGAGTTTAAATAACAACTAATTTATTCATGAAATATGAAAATAGGTAATGACTAAAATCTCAGTATGATTATAAAGAAGGACTAAATGAATGATCGAGTTTCGAATGTGGTAAATAACTTGTGACATAAAAATACATCCAGTAGATGATTTTAAAATGAATGCATAACACCACATAGTGATCTTTGGAGTCTTGAATAGAAACGATAAGAAATCTTAGACAACCAAAATTATGAATTATGATGTATATGTGTCTCTCTATGAAATATACACCTATCCTATCTAAACAATCATATGTAAATGAAAAAAATTGAGACCGGAAAAAAAAGTAATTTTAATAGTTGAGATCATAAGTCAAGTGAAGCTAGACAGTTATAAAAACCCTAATGTACTGGATGGCCGTTTCGTCCTACTGTGGGACTTCTCAGCATTATGCATCCACGATTCGTCTAGTGCTTTGAGGTTTTCCAAGGTGATCTATCTTCACTTGACTCATGAACTCAACTATTAAAATTACTATAAAATATCCACAAAACCCCCCTTCTGGTCGAAAGGAAAAATGCTCAAAATACAAAAAAAGAAAATAATTTAGTTATGTTTATCAATAAATGTTACGTAACAATTTATAAGAACTGTTAACCAAGGGAAAAGCAAGATTCTGAGATACAACACAGCATGCAACAGTCAAATCACACTTGACAGAGATTTGGAAGATGTAAAAGCCTTTACATATCTGGGCAGCATCGTTGATGATCACGGTGGATCTTATGCAGATGTGAAGGAGCGGATCGGAAAAGCAAGAACAACATATTTACAACTGAAGAACATTTGGGACTCAAAACAATAATCAACCAACACCAAGGTCAGAAACCTGGAGAACTACGAAAGCCATCATCCAGAAGATACAAGTGTTTGTTAACAGCTGTATACGCAAAATACTTTGGATCCGTTGGCCAGACACTATCAGCAACAACTTAATGTGGGAGATAACAAACCAGATTTCAGCGGAGGAGGAAATCAAGAAGAAACGCTAGAAGTGGATAAGACACACATTGAGGAAAGCACCCAACTGCGTCACAACGCAAGCTCTCGCTTGAAATCCTCAAGGCCAAGGGAGAAGAAGAAACCCAAAGAACACATTAAGTCGAGAAATGGAGACAGATATGAGAAAAATCGACAAAAATTGGATAGAACTAGAAAGGAAGGCCTAGGACAGATTGGGTTGGAGAATGCTGGTCGGCCGCCTATGCTCCATTGGGAGTGACAGGCGTAAGTAAATAAGATGATGTACTTCTGTGGAATGATTGTCCGTACACTAAATGACAAGTATAATCAAGGAATATAATTAATCATTCTATTCTAGTAGTTTAACAAAACATAGGAATGAATACTGATGATCATACAAAATATATAACTCAGAAGTCCAAAACATTTGGATTACTGAATTAGAATCAATTGACATGAAACAATTAGAATTCAAATACTAATCTTTTAATATGACGGGGATCTTTAAACAATCAGAATTCCAGTCAATAAAAATATTTATTTATTATTTATTTTAACACAGATATTGAAACAAGGAGGCACCAAATACATATGCGCCACACAAATCTCATTCGATATGTGTGATGGCTGTGATACTGCCCGGAAGCCCAAACCGAAGCAGGTGGTTTTCTTAGGAGGCCACACCCCGAGCCTTCGACCTGAAGGTCTGATCTACAAGGCAGTGGAGCATCGTGAGGAGATGCAGTCCCATGGAAGCCGGTGACCAACAATCAGTTCACATGCCATTTGTTCTCGCAGGATACTGGAACCCATGTGCAACATTGGTTTGGGACCCGGTTAAAGCGCCGTACATTCGCTTTTCGTCCTCTCATTTTCGTAGACAGCACCTTCGCCACGAGAAGGCAGTGAGTAGGACTTCCCTGGCAGAGGCTATATACGCGTGGCCCTGTGAGAGCATTTCGAGAGGGAGAGCGGACTCTCCCCACTCTCGGCCGTACCAGGGCATTTGGGGGCAGTCAATAAATAACATTAATATGCTGACCAAGTACTTAATTGATTAAAGTAAGAATTACATAATGATATGTAATCAAATCTTGAGAAAGAGTGATTACATAATTTAACTAATTAGTTACATTAGCTCAGTTATAGAAAATTAATTGTATGATATTGTAAATATGTTCTCATATAGTTAAAGTTATTAATGAATTGATGTTAGAATTTTATACAAATATCTGTGCTACTGTGGTATGCTAACTCGAACTGATGTACGTACGTACGTACGAAGTTCTACGTTGTTACTGATTGACTGACTGAAATCGAACTGCTAACAAATCACATCAAAAAACAGTGTATTGAAATATCAGTTTTATTTATATTGGATGTCGAATAAATCCTCATTTAGTGGTGATCTTCGAGGTTCTTACTTACGTCATCTAACTGACAAAATTTCAGTGGTAATTACCAATTTAGTTTATTACTGTACAGACATAACAGATGTCAATAGTCTATTGTATAAATTACAACTTCTCATGAATTCTTCAAGGGATTCCTTGTTATTGAAGACTGTACTCAAACAATTTCATTCAATAAGATTAATCAGATTTTATAACAACAACAACAAAATGATTAGTCGAGATACGACAATAAAAGCAACTTGGAATACAGTTAGTAACATTATGAACAGAGATAACAAAAAAAGAAATAAGAATAAACACAAGGAACTACTCATCAACGAAATATATTCAATATTTAAAGGAATAAACACTTTTGAACTGAATTTTAAGCAATACATTTTGTGCTCAGAAGATATGGACACTATTCTGCTACTACGGACTGAAAAGAGGCAAAAACACTACTCAAATCTGTAACTTGGATTGACATTGGAATGTTTTAGATTATTAATTTACTGTTTTGCAACCCTATCGTCAGTATAATTGATGACCGATTGGTTCCACGTTCACTTGTTCACTAATTTTGATTTGAAATGTTGAGTTATATTCGTGGTTCTAGCAAACACATTAATCTTAAGGCTAAGATCATATATATATA